AGCTGACATCAGTCTGACTGATAAAATACACTTTAATTAACAAACACACACAATTTCCAACATAACAGAAAGTAAAAAAAGCACTAAATGGAATGCGTTCATGTCAGTGACGGCTGTCCTCAACGGACCTTAGAGCCGTTAACAGTTTCATTTTTTAATAAGTGACATTATATTCTCTTCATCTGTATCAGACATTGTAAAGATCATCAGTTAAAGGTGGGGTATGTAATTTTGGAGAAACCTGCTCGAGTGCGCTAGAATTTGAAAATACACAGCCGGAAAAAGCTGCCACACCGGGCCGGCTAAAATGATTGGTCGTGCTTTTTACAGCACTACGGCTTCCACAGATGACATTTTTTTATGGATTTCTTGTCAAAGCACTTAAGATATTCATTGCTATCGGGATGTTAAGAGCATTCCATGGAATATAACAAAAAGTGTATCTCGAGCCGGTTTCTCAAACTTACCTACCCCACCTTTAATCATTGCTATTGGATTATTAATGCTGATCCCTAGCGCTTTATGACCGTGCCAAAGCAGTGCGATATAATATGAAATAAAAGCAAATGTGTTCAGTTCAAATGATAAAGAAAAACCCTGCTGTTATTTACAAACTATATCTATGAATACATTGAGCTATTAAGTTATTAAGACTCTCAGCCTTTCATAATGCACAGTTTGAGATTTGAAGATTAAAGCATGTTATACCAAAACACCATTCACCAAAAAGATTAAATAGTACACAGTAAATCAAAAGTATGGAGACGAAACAAGACATACATCAGAACAACCCTTGCAGGATGTTCAGGTGTTAAACAATATCTTTACACTCCCTGTTTTAATGTTATCTTTGTTTCTAAATGCACTCAAAATGCAGAAATAAACGAATTAAATACAAAAATAATGCAGAGCCCCAATCAATTGGTCTGTTTTCTGGTTTGTAGTTTTTTAAACAGTGTTTGTGTGGTGGAAATCATCAGTGTTGCTTTCAGAGCAGTCTCTTAGATACACAAGTGGGTTTTGGTTTTCTTCCCAGGAGCCCTCAAGATACATTTTTGTATCTCTTACTTTTTTATAACAAAAAAGATAATTATAACCAATACAATTACAAATATGCAGACAAAACAACAACCACAACAGATTATACAGGATGTATAGGTGTTGCAACAGTCTGATTCTGTGTTTACCGGTCGCCTGCTGGCTACACGGTCCTCATAATCGCCCATATTCAGTGCAACGTAACCCTGGTTTTGGACATTTCTAGGAACATTGTGCTCTCTCTCATTTCTTGGAGTAATTCTGTTTTGTTTAGTGTGGTCGCTTTCAGCTCTGATGTTGTCTTCTGGTTCGTTGTCGATTTTTGGTCGGTTGTTTTGTTGCTTAGAGGACTGCTTTTCCTGGAGCACAATATACAGCAGCAGTCCAAGGCAAGCAAGTTCACCCCATGCATTTTCAATGTCAAAATCATCAGCGCTGCTTCTGAAGCGGTTTCTGAGATACGACAGTGGCTGTTGGTCTTCTCCCACAGAAAACTCTCTGATCTCTCTCAGGAGGTTCGTGCTGATCCTGTAGGTATGAGCTGGATCATAAAGTGTCCCCTGATGTGGAATATGCTGTGTGATATACACTTGGTCTATCGTCTGGTAAGCTCGTCCATGTATGTTTTGCTCCCTGACCCGAAATATGATCCTGTCCATGTTTCTTCCCATATCCTCAATCATGGGATCGAAAACATAAGGAGGAAGTTGGGTTGACGTGTCCTCATTGAGATTTCCAATCGTGTAGTACCTGTGTTGATTTCCCCAAGGCAGAGGGTCCAGCACCCCCTCATAGTTGCTCTTATTGTTATTATGTTATGTTATTATGTTGCATTGTTGGAGAAGCCTGTGACATAAGATTTTCAACTGCATAATTACTCTGTAGCTATGTCAGATTGACAATAAAGAACCTTGAACCTTGAATAGTTGCCATAATGATGGGAACCATAATCTTCCCTGTTTGGGTCAAAGGTCAGCTGTATAATATCGTTGTTGTCGATGTCGATCTCGTTGGCAAACCAGTGGAGCAGCAGGAGACTGTGCTTGGGCACAGATTGGCCGAAGTTGATTTTCTTCAAACCAATGATTGATTTGAGCGTCTTCTGTACAGCTGACACAGAGGTCAGGGCGAGGAGCAGAGCTACACAGCACCAAGTGACTCCTCCCAACATCTTCATCATCCTGGGTCCACTTGACCCTCAATTAGGATGTCCAAAGCCCTTTTAAAAAAGGTAGAAATATAGAGTAGAGAATTGTTATAAAAACAGATTCATTTAATGTGTTTTTACTTAATGATACAAAAATGTATTGAGGGTATTACAATGTTTTAAGAATTAAAAGATATTGTAGTCACAAAATGACTTCTTCTTGGTGAAAAGCAAAAAGTGTGATTTCCTTGCTCTGAAGGAGTGCCACTCTTCAACCCCGTCGACATTACATAGGCCCGTAATAATTGGACTACAACATTGTTTTTATATCATCTTTTTTTCTATAGTAGACGGCACACATAATAAATCTGAACATTTGAAATAATTTCATTGGAAATGTTAAAGGTAGGGCATGTAATTTTGGAGAAACCGGCTCGAGATCGCTAGAATTTGAAAATACACAGCCGGAAAAAATCTGCCACTTCCTTACAGAGCCCCTCCTCCAACACACACGAACGCGCACATGACCAATGAGGGCACGAGATAAGTTTGTGCACAGATGGAAGGCTGACAGGCAGGTAGGCCATCCAGTTATTTTAGCCGGGCCGGCTAAAATGACTGGTCGTGCTTTTTATAGTATTACGGCTTCCACAGATGATATTTTTTAATGGATTTTTTGTCAAAGGACTTAAGATATTCATTGCTATCGGGATGTTAAGAGCATTCCATGGAATATAACAAAAAGTGTATCTCGAGCCGGTTTCTCAAACTTACCTACCCCACCTTTAAACATTTGTATTTACTTGCCAAATCATGGGATCAGTTGTATATCTTCTGAGCCCTATATACTGTATAGGTTACTTTTCATTATTCATTCAAAAATACTTATAAAAACATAATTAACCTAAAGTGGGAGACATTTTGACGAGCACCACCATATAATCCTCAATTTAAAAAAAAGTATAATACATTGTTTGAAAATAATATTTTGGTAGTAAATAAAAACATTGTAAATAATCTCCTCACGGCATAAACAACGTACATTTGCAGTTTTAATCTGAGTTTTAGTCACCTTGTAAACCCTATTGTTCACTGCGCCATTTAACAGCCAATCTGTACTTTCTCAAAGCATACATGCCATTGTAACAAGCTATGCATCAAATGGTTATTATGGTTCGATCGGTCAAGTAAACATTCAAACTGTTTATTCTTGTTGTTATCCCTTCTGCTCATACTGACCAATAGGCATTACGAGGGCATCCATAGTCTTCTTATTGAGCAAAACATTTATGTTTAAGTTCTCTGAGTTTATTTTGAGGCTTCAGCAGCCTGAGTTCATCAAATCAAGAGAGTACCAAGTTACACTCTATCTAGTAGACTGTTTTAATACACAGCGTTTCCTTGTTGAGCTGCGGTGGAGGGATAGTAACACGAAGAGGAGAGAAAACTCAAATACAAAGCTGGAATCAAAGTCTTCTTCCAAACATGTGAAATAGTGCCAAAGTAAATAATAAAAACAAACTAGTGATCAGAAAATAGGAGAGCTCACCTCTGTTAGTCTGCTGCTGTCGAGTCCCAGATCTGTGTGTGTGTGTGTGTGTGTGCATAGACTAAACTCTCCCGAGGTTTCAGTTTCCCCGTAAATAAAACTGGCAAAACAAGTGTTGCTGGTGGTAACAAGAAGTTTGATCATACAGGTGTTTGAAAAAACCTTCTGATTTCAAGATATGAAAAGTAGTCTTCAGAAATGCAAAAGGCAAAGGATAAAATATGTATACCAGTGTTTTGTTGCTTGTGATGCTAAAGATAACAAATCTGATCTTCCAGAATATAATGTTAAAGGTTTCTTTATTATTTTGCACATCTAAATTGTGCTCAGTTCCCTAAAACCTCAAATGAAAAGCTGACACCAGTCTTACTGACACATTACAATTTAATAAACACACACAATTTATGACATTACTGGAAGTATAAAAAAAGTTAAATGCATCCATGTCAGTGACGGCTGTCCTTTGCAGACCGTACAGTCATTCACCGATCTGTTTGGTTTATCAATCAGTGCTGCTTGAATTCTCTTCATCTGTCTCACACACAGGAGGAATCCTCAGTGAATCATAGCTATTACATTATACATGCTGGAGCAAAACTGAAGCCTGCAGCTTCATGACTGCACCAAAGCAGTGCATTATTACAAAAACAGCAAAAGCCAATGTGCACAGTTCAAATAGAAGAAGAAGAAGCCCTACTGTTATTCAGAACCTGTCATTTTTTATAAATAACTTTTAAGCTCAAAAGATCGAGGATTTAAAGTTTTTTGCCTTTAAGCCTTTATCTCAAATATAAACTAACACCACTCACAAAAAAGGTTATATAATACAAATTAAAATGTAAAACAAAGCATAAAACAGAAGAACCCCTGGACATTGTGTGTTTCCTTCTTCCCATCAACTTTTAAATCCTGCTGACTTTGTGAGAAACATTGGGCTTAAACACATTATATGGTAATTTCTCTAATTTCAAATTATCTCCTTGCTGCAGAAATTGCCAAAATAAAAAGACCAACTAAAAGAACAACAACGATCATGAAGCACTTCACAAAAGCCGCACACCAACTAGTTTGTCTGTTATCTGGCGTGTAGGCGCTTTGTTGTCTGAATTGCGGTGTGTAGTTGGATTGTGGGGTAAAGGGGTGCCTTTCCCCGAGCACAATATACAGCAGCAGTCCAAGGCAAGCAAGGTGAGCCCATGTGTTTCTGATTTGTACATCATCAGCGCTGCTTCCAAAGCGGTTTATGAGATCCGACAGTGGCTGTTGGTTTGGTCCCACAGAAAACTCTCTGATCTCTCTCAGGAGGTTAGTGGTGATCCTGTAGGTATGAGCTGGATCATATTCCCTCTGATGTTGAAAACGCTGTGGAAAATGCTGTGTGATATACACTTGGTCTATCCTCCGGAAAGTTTGCCATCCTGTGTTTTGCTCCCTGACACGAACTATGATCCTGTCCCTGTTTTCTCCGTCATACTCCCTTTGGGGATGCGCTACATAAGGAGGAAGTGGATCGGACGTTTCCTGATGGAGATTTCCAATAGTGTAGTACCTGTAATGACTTCCCCGAGGCAGTGTGTCCAGCAGCCCCTCACCGTTGCCATAATGATGTGAGCCATAAGCTCCACTGTTTGGGTCAAAGGTCAGACTTATGACATTGTTATCGTCAATGGTAACTGTGTTGGCAAACCAGTGGAGCAGCAGAAGACTGTGCTTGGGCACAGATTGGCCGAAGTTGATTTTCTTCAAATCATTGATTGAATTCAGCTCTCTCTGTACAGCTGACACAGAGGTCAGGGCAAGGAGCAGAGCAACACAGCACCAAGTGACTCTTCCTGATATCTTCATCATCCTGTATGGACAAGAAATGCAATTTAGATGACCAAAGGCTTTTATGAAGTAGAAATAAGAGAAAGTTCTATAAGCTACAAAAGGTGTGATATCCTATTGACAGATTGTCTTTGTAAGTTTGATACTTGCACTGCCTTAGTCATATGTATACCTATTGTAAGAATTAAACCTCAGAAAGTGAACAGTAGTGGCTACAGGGTGGACATATTGCTAATTTATCATTTGTAAAGGAACGTTTTTAATTACCTCTTTTTAAATATTAGAAGCCACACAGTAAATCTGAAAAATATGTTGCAATAATTGAATTGGGCCTTTTTTCATCCAATTTATTTCTACTTTCTGAAAGCACGCATATGTTACTAGAAACAGGTCAACTTATTATTATCATGATTTGATCAGTCAGGTGAACATTGAAAGATGTTTTTCTTGTTTAATACACCTCCTATAAAGTTACAGTTCATTTATGTCAGCGTGTCCTTGTTGAGCTGCGGTGGAGAGATAGTAACACAAAGAGAAGAGAACACTCAAAAACAAACGTGGATTCAAAAGCTTTTCGGACGTGTAATTAGCTAAAGCTTTGTTGTTTATTGATATCAGACAATGATACTACAGATTATTCAATTATTAATTAAATGTTTTGTTATTGCATTCATTTGTATAGTACTGTATCATGTCTGTATCACCTTTTGTTTCATTTGTATTTTCTTTGGTTTTACACGCTCGAAAAAAATATAATAAACTAAACTAAAAACTAAAGCTTCACCAATCCAAAGTTAAAGTACATAATAAAAACTACTGATTAGAAAATAAGAGAGCTCACCTGCGTTAGTCTGCTGCTGTCAAGTATCAGATCTCCGAGTGTAGATGAAACTCTTTCTAGGTGAAGTTTTCTCTGTAAATGAAACCTGCACAACAAATATTGCTGGTGGTTCCAGGAAGTAGACTTTGATCACACAGCCGTTTGGATGAAACGTCCTTCTGTTTTCAAGACAAGAGGAGTTCTCCCTTTCATGCTGTAATTGGGGTTTAACAGTTATGTGCCGTACAGTAGGATTATTTATTTAGACAGTTTTTAGAGCACCGACACTCTAAGATTCTGTTTCTCAATCATGTTGGAATTTAATGAGCGGGTTTATGGTGCAAACTATCCTGTGGCAGTGAGTGTGTCCTTTTAGATTTGTAATAGTGCCAGACTTTGAGCTTTTTATTTTTATTTTCACATGTTTTTTTAATTATTATTGTTTATATATGGATTGGCATTATACAGGTGTGTCCCTAGACCTCCTCTGCCCCTGAACATACAGTCGATACAGACGAGAGCAAAACAGACAACTTCTGATAGAACAGATACACAGACTGTTGTTTCTCTAAAAGTTCACTGTTCAAAGTTTGCTCTCAACTTCTAACTTTCTTCTTAAATACATGAGTGTCAATATCTGTGTTGCAACTCTTGATCACTAAATGTGAGGAATCTATAGCTGAAAGTGTCCTCAAATACGGGTAAATTGTCATCTTAATGGGAAATCTTGCTCAAACATGTCTTGAATATTGCCTTTTGGTTGACAAAGTAGAGTGTTTGAAAATGTATGATGAGTGAAGAGCATGAAACTAAATGTCAGCTGGTTTCAAAACAATATTTTCCCATCATTAAGGGTGATCTTTTCATCCTTTTCTAAAAAATATATTGATTAACTTTTAAGCTTTTTAAAGGCCTTTTTAGTCAAGATATTTAAAATAATTACAACATTGCAAAATAAAGGCAGTGAGAAACTACAATTATCATTTTCCTAAAAACTCAAACGGCCTCATGTCAGTAGCAATGAGCTGTGTGTGTGCCTCCCATGTCATTGTATACTGTAGTAGTTATTGTGGAGATTTTCATTTAAAAAATAATAATTCTGTTAAGTCACTGTTTTTTGCCGAATGAGGAAACATAATATTGATTGAGCGTGTCGCCCATTGACAAAAGCCCTTTCATTTGAAAGATAAGGAATTGGCTGCGTTTGTTGACATGCCCGGGAAAAGTCTTTATTTGACTCTCTGGGAGATAAAGACAGAAACATAGTGGCAATAGCAGCTCTTGTTATATATGCTCTCAAAGAGAACAAACCAGATGATTCAGAATGCAACTTCAAATGTATCTCACTTGTGCTCATGCAGTTTCCTTAAAGTTGAAATAAAAAAATCTGACTGATAAAATACACTTTAATTAACACACACACACACACACACACACACACACACACACACACACACACACACACACACACACACACACACACACACACACACACACACACACACACACCACACACACACACACCACACACACACACACACACACACACACTTTCCAACATGGCAGAAAGTAAAAAAAGCACTAAATGGAATGCGTTCATGTCAGTGACGGCTGTCCTTAACGAACCTTAGAGCCATTCACAGTTTCATTTTTTAATAAGTGACATTGTATTCTTTTCATCTGTATCAGACATTGTAAAAATCATCAGTTAATCATTGCTATTGGATTATTAATGCTGAACCCTAGAGCTTTATGACCGTGCCAAAGCAGTGCGTTATAATATGCAATAAAAGCCAATGTGTTCAGTTTGAATTTATAAAGAAAAAACCCTGCCGTTACAAACTGTATTTATGAATAAATGGAGCTATGCAGTTCTAAATGTCCTGAAGACTCTCAGCCTTTCATAACGCACAGTTTGAGATTTGAAGATTAAAGAATTTAACTTTTCATTCAAAGCATGTTACTGCATACCAAGTCTATGTCGATCTAAACTAACACCATTCACCAAAAAGATGAAATAGTACACAAAGGAAATCAAAAGTATGGAGACGAAACAAGACATACATCAGAACAACCCTTGCAGGATGTTCAGGTGTTAAACAATATCTTTACACTCCCTGTTTTAATGTTATCTTTGTTTCTAAATGCACTCAAAATGCAGAAAAAAACAAAAATAAATACAAAAAAATGCAGAGCCCCAATCAATTTGTCTGTTTTCTGTTTGGTAGTTCTTTTTTTTTGTATCTCTTAATTTTTCATAACAAAAAACCAAATAATTATAACCAATACAATTACAAATACAACTATGCAGACCAAAATACAAAAACAACACATACAGGATTCAAAGGTGTTGCAACAGTCTGATTCTGTGTTTACCTCATCGCCCATATTCAGTGCAACATCCCTCGGCTTTCGGACATTTCTAGGAACATTGTGCTCTCTCTCATTTCTAGCATTTCCTCTGTTTTTAGGGCGGTTGTTTTGTTGCTTAGAGGAGTGCTTTTCCTTTATCACAATATACAGCAGCAGTCCAAGGCAAGCAAGTTCACCCCATGTGTTTTCAATGTCAAAATCATCAGCGCTGCTTCTGAAGCGGTTTCTGAGATACGACAGTGGCTGTTGGTCTTCTCCCACAGAAAACTCTCTGATCTCTCTCAGGAGGTTCGTGCTGATCCTGTAGGTATGAGCTGGATCATAAAGTGTCCCCTGATGTGGAATATGCTGTGTGATATACACTTGGTCTATCGTCTGGTAAGATCGTCCATGTATGTTTTGCTCCCTGACTCGAACTATGATCCGTCCATGTTACTTCCCATATCCTCAATTCTGGGATCGAAAACATAAGGAGGAAGTTGGGTTGACGTTTCCTCATTGAGATTTCCAATCGTGTAGTACCTGTGTTGATTTCCCCAAGGCAGAGGGTCCAGCACCCCCTCATAGTTGCCATAATGGTGTGAGCCATAATCTTCCCTGTTTGGGTCAAAGGTCAGCTGTATTATATTGTTGTCGATGTAGATCTCGTTGGCAAACCAGTGGAGCAGCAGGAGACTGTGCTTGGGCACAGATTGGCCGAAGTTGATTTTCTTCAAACCATTGATTGATTTGAGCGTCTTCTGTACAGCTGACACAGAGGTCAGGGCGAGGAGCAGAGCTACACAGCACCAAGTGACTCCTCCTGATATCTTCATCATCCTGTATGGACAAGAAATGCAATTTAGATAACCAAAGGCTTTTATGGAGTAGAAATAAGAGAAAGTTCTATAAGCTACAACAAGTGTGATATCCTATTGATAGATTGTCTTTGTAAGTTTGATACTTGCACTGCCTTAGTCATATTTATCCCTAATTGTAAGAATTCATCCTCGGAAAGTGAACAGTAGTGGCTACAGGGTGGACATATTGCTAATTTATCATTTGAAAAGGAATGTTTTTAATTACCTCTTTTTAAATATTAGAAGCCACACAGTAAATCTGAAAGATATGTTGCAATAATTGAATTGGGCCTTTTTTCATCCAATTTATTTCTACTTTCTGAAAGCACGCATATGTTACTAGAAACGCATCAACTTATTATTATCATGATTTGATCAGTCAGGTGAACATTGAAAGATGTTTTTCTTGTTTAAAGGTCCCATGTCATGGCCATTTCTACTGATCATAATTCCATTGTTGAGGTATACTAAAATAGATGAAAAAGAGAAATCTCCAACGAGGCGTTCTGGGGCAGCATAGACAGGTCTTTTCTGTGTTAGAGTTTTACTCGCTACAGGGTGTACTTTGAGGGTTTGTGACTTTGCATACCGTTTACATGCAAAACAACCTTCATAACACACAAGGGGACGGGTAATAACCAGAAAAGTATGACATGGGACCTTTACTACACCTGCTGTAAAGTATCTCATAAAGTTACAGTTCATTTATGTCAGCGTGTCCTTGTTGAGCTGCGGTGGAGAGATAGTAACACAAAGAGAAGAGAACACTCAAAAACAAATGTGGATTCAAAAGCTTCACCAATCCAAAGTAAATAATAAAAACTACTGATTAGAAAATAAGAGAGCTCACCTGCGTTAGTCTGCTGCTGTCAAGTATCAGATCTCTGACTGTAGATGAAACTCTTTCTAGGTGAAGTTTTCTCTGTAAATGAAACCTGCACAACAAATATTGCTGGTGGTTCCAGGAAGTAGACTTTGATCACACAGCCATTTGGATGAAACGTCCTTCTGTCTTCAAGATAAGAGGAAGAGTCCTCCCTTTCATGCTGTAATTGGGGTTTAACAGTTATGTGCCGTACAGTAGGATTATTTATTTAGACCGTTTTTAGAGCACCGACACTGTAAGATTCTGATTCTCGATCATGTTAATGAGCGGGTTTATGGTGCAAATTATCCTGTGGCAGTGAGTGTGTCCTTTTAGATTTGTAATAGTGCCAGACTTTGAGCTTTTTATTTTTATTTTCACATGTTTTTTTTATTATTGTTTATATATGAATTGGCATTATACAGGTGTGTCCCTAGACCTCCTCTGCCCCTGAACATACAGACGAGAACAAAACAGACAACTTCAGATAGAACAGATACAGACTGTTGTTTCTATAAAAGTTCACTGTTCAAAGTTTGCTCTCAACTTCTAACTTTCTTCTTAAATACATGAGTGTCAATATCTGTGTTGCAACTCTTGATCACTAAATGTGAGGAATCTATAGCTGAAAGTGTCCTCAAATACGGGTATATTGTCATCTTAATGGGAAATCTTGCTCAAACATGTCTTGAATATTGCCTTTTGGTTGACAAAGTAGAGTGTTTGAAAATGTATGATGAGTGAAGAGCATGAAACTAAATAATGTCAGCTGGTTTCAAAACAATATTTTCCCATCATTAAGGGTGATCTTTTCATCCTTTTCTAAAAAATATATTGATTAACTTTTAAGCTTTTTAAAGGCCTTTTTAGTCAAGATATTTAAAATAATTACAACATTGCAAAATAAAGGCAGTGAGAAACTACAATTATCATTTTCCTAAAAACTCAAACAGCCTCATGTCAGTAGCAATGAGCTGTGTGTGTGCCTCCCATGTCATTGTATACTGTAGTAGTTATTGTGGAGATTTTCATTTAAAAAATAATAATTCTGTTAAGTCACTGTTTTTTGCCGAATGAGGAAACATAATATTGATTGAGCGTGTCGCCCATTGACAAAAGCCCTTTCATTTGAAAGATAAGGAATTGGCTGCTTTTGTTGACATGCCCGGGAAAAGTCTTTATTTGACTCTCTGGGAGATAAAGACAGAAACATACTGGCAATAGCAGCTCTTGTTATATATGCTCTCAAAGAGAACAAACCAGATCATTCAGAATGCAACTTCAAATGTATCTCACTTGTGCTCATGCAGTTTCCTTAAAGTTGAAATAAAAAGCTGACATCAGTCTGACTAATAAAATACACTTTAATAAACAAACACATACAATTTCCAACATAGCAGAAAGTAAAAAAAGCACTAAATGGAATACGTTCATGTCAGTGACGGCTGTCCTTAACAGAACTTAGAGCCATTCACAGTTTCATTTTTTAATAAGTGACATTTTATTATTTTCATCTGTATCGGACATTGTAAAGATCATCAGTTAAAGGTGGGGTATGTCATTTTGGAGAAACCAGCTCGAGATCGCTAGAATTTGAAAATACACAGCCGGAACAAATCTGCCACTTCCTTATAGAGCCCCTCCTCCAACACACACGAACGCGCACATGACCAATGAGGGCACGAGATAAGTTTGTGCACAGATGGAAGGCTGACAGGCAGGTAGGCCATCCAGTTATTTTACCCGGGCCGGCTAAAATGATTGGTCGTACTTTTTACAGTACTACAGCTTCCACAGATGACATTTTTTTTATGGATTTTTTGTCTTAAGATATTCATTGCTATCGGGATGTTAAGAGCATTCCATGGAATATAACAAAAAGTGTTTCTCGAGCCGGTTTCTCAAACTTACCTACCCCACCTTTAACACACACACACACACACACACACACTTTCCAACATAGCAGAAAGTAAAAAAGCACTAAATGGAATGCGTTCATGTCAGTGACAGCTGTCCTTAACGGACCTTAGAGCCATTCACAGTTTCATTTTTTAATAAGTGACATTGTATTCTATTCATCTGTATCAGACATTGTAAAAATAATCATTGCTATTGAATTATTAATGCTGAACCCTAGAGCTTTATGACCGTGCCAAAGCAGTGCGTTATAATATGCAATAAAAGCCAATGTGTTCAGTTCAAATTATAAAGAAAAAACCCTGCTGTTACAAACTGTATTTATGAATAAATGGAGCTATGAAGTTCTAAATGTCCTGAAGACTCTCAGCCTTTCATAACGCACAGTTTGAGATTTGAAGATTAAAGAATTTAACTTTTCATCAAAAGCATGTTATACCAAAACAACATTCACCAAAAAGATTAAATAGTACACAGTAAATCAAAAGTATGGAGACGAAACAAGACATACATCAGAACAACCCTTGCAGGATGTTCAGGTGTTAAACAATATCTTTACACTCCCTGTTTTAATGTTATCTTTGTTTCTAAATGCACTCAAAATGCAGAAATAAACAAATTAAATACAAAAAAAATGCAGAGCCCCAATCAATTTGTCTGTTTTCTGGTTTGTAGTTCTTTTTTTTAAAACAGTGTTTGTGAGGTGGAAATCATCAGTGTTGCTTTCAGAGCAGTTTCTTAGATACACAAGTGGGTTTTGGTTTTCTTCCCAGGAGCCCTCAAGATACATTTTTCTATCTCTTAATTTTTCATAACAAAAAACCAAATAATTATAACCAATACAATTACAAATATGCAGGCAATACAAAACAAAAAAAAATGTATACAGGATTTCAAGGTGTTGCAACAGTCTGATTCTGTGTTTACCGGTTGGCTGCTGGCTACACGGTCCTCATAATCGCCCATATTCACTGCAAGATAACCCTGGTTTTGGACATTTCTAGGAACATTGTGCTTTCTCTCATTTCTAAGAACATTGTGCTCTCTCTCATTTCTAGGAACATTGTGCTTTCTCTCATTTCTAAGAACATTGTGCTCTCTCTCATTTCTAAGAACATTGTGCTCTCTCTCATTTCTAGGATTTATTCTGTTTTGTTTAGTATGGTCGCTTTCAGCTCTGATGTTGTCTTCTGGTTTGTTGTAGATTTTTGGTCGTGTGTTTTGTTGCTTAGAGGACTGCTTTTCCTGGATCACAATATACAGCAGCAGTCCAAGGCAAGCAAGGTGACCCCATGCGTTTCTGATTTGTTCATCATCAGCGCTGCTTCCAAAGCGGTTTCTGAGATGCGACAGTTGGTTTTGTCCCACAGCAAACTCTCTGATCTGTCTCAGGAGGTTAGGGGTGATGCTGTATGTATGATCTGGATCATAAGGTGTCCCCTGATTTTCAGAAGTGTCATAATGCTGTGTGATATACACTTCGTCTATCGTCTGGTAAGCTCGCCTTTGGTTTTGCTCCCTGACTCGAACTATGATCCTGTCCCTGTTATGTCCTTCATAATCTGTTCCGGGATGTGCTACATACGCTGGAAGTGGATTGGACGTTTCCTGATGGAGATTTCCAATCGTGAGGTACTGGTATTGATTTCCCCGAGGTAGTGGGTTCAGCAGATCCTCAAAGTTGCCATAATGATGGGAACCATAATCTCCACTGTTTGGGTCAAAGGTCAGCTGTATAATATCGTTGTTGTCGATGTCGATCTCGTTGGCAAACCAGTGGAGCAGCAGAAGACTGTGCTTGGGCACAGATTTGCCGAAGTTGATTTTCTTCAAACCATTGATTGATTTGAGCGTCTTCTGTACAGCTGACACAGAGGTCAGGGCGAGGAGCAGAGCTACACAGCACCAAGTGACTCTTCCTGATATCTTCATCATCCTGGGTCCACTTGACTCTCAATTAAGATGTCCAAAGTCCTTTTATGAGTTAGAAATATAGAGTTCAGAAAGTTTATAAAAACAGATTCATTTAATGTGTTTTTACTTAATGATACAAAAATGTATTGAGGGTATTACAATGTTTTAAGAATTAAAAGATATTCTAGTCACAAAATGACCTCTTGGTGAAAAGCAAAAAGTGTGATTTCCTTTCGACAGATTGTCTTTGTAAGTTTAATACTTGTTCTGAAGGAGTGTCACATTTCAACCCCGTCGGCATTAAATAGGCCCGTAGTAATTGGTATACAACATTGTTTTTATATCATCCTTTTTTTTCTATAGTAGATGGCACACACAATACATTTGAAATAATTTCATTGGAAAAAACATTTGTATTTACTTGCCAAATCTGGGAATCAATTTTCTGAGCCCTATATAGAGTACAAGTTACTTTTCATTAAAAAATTATTATAAAAAAAATAATTAACCTAAAGTGGGAGACATTTTGACGAGCACCACCATATAATCCTCAATTAAAATAAAAACGTATAATACATTGTTTGAAAATAATATTTTGGTAGTAAATAAAAACATTGTAAATAATCTCCTCATAACGGCATAAACAACGTACATTTGCAGTTTTAATCTGAGTTTTAGTCACCTTGAAACCCTATTGTTCACTGCGCCATTTAACATCCAATCTGTACTTTCTCAAAGCATACATGCCATTGTAACAAGATATGCATCAAATAGTTATTATGGTTCGATCGGTCAAGTAAACATTCAAACTGTTTATTCTTGTTGTTATCCCTTCTGCTCATACTGACCAATAGGCCTTACGAGGGCATCCACAGTCTTCTTATTGAGCAAAACATTTATGTTTAAGTTGTCTGAGTTTATTTTGAGGCTTCAGCAGCCTGAGTTCATCAAATCAAGCAAGTACCAAGTTACACTCTATCTAGTAGACTGTTTTAATACACAGCGTTTCCTTGTTGAGCTGCGGTGGAGGGATAGTAACACGAAGAGGAGAGAAAACTCAAATACAAAGCTGGAATCAAAAGCTTCTTCCAATCATGTGAAATAGTGCCAAAGTAAATAATAAAAACAAACTAGTGATCAGAAAAAAGGAGAGCTCACCTCTGTTAGTCTGCTGCTGTCGAGTGTTAGATCTGTGTCTGTGTGTGTGTGTGTGTGTGTGTGTGTGTATATAGAGGAAACTCTTGCTTGGTTTCAATTTCCCGTAAATAAAACTGGAAGAACAATTCCTGCTGGTGGTCGTCACAGGAAGTTTGATCACATGGCTGTTTAACCCTGTAAAGCCCAAATATAGAAAAACATTAGAATGTATTTGTTTGACCTGTCAGATGTTGTTGTCGAGATCCTCTGGAGCAGAAATGAAAGCGTTTTGGTATGTTTTTAGGGAAATGTTGTAATATTGCAACGTTGGCCTTAGGTGGGAGCAGAATTTCTGTATTTCTACTCGCATTGTCTGAATAAATATATTGAACAACTAAGGGTTGATTTGCAGGATTGATTGCTTACTCAGCCCTATATCAGTATATAGCATGAATAATAATCTCACATCAGTCCTATTTTTTTTGAATAGTCATTTATTAAATATGAATACAATGGTAGTCCCAAAAACAGTTCCTATCGTCGGAAAAGCAGACACGGACGTCACACTTGGTGCATTGTGTGTTTGTGTACCCTTTACCGCAGTGTCTGCAGCGTCCTCTCTTTGTCTTCACTGGAAAATGTGCCATTAGGTCCTTGCGTACATCCAGTCGAGGTTGTGATCTCTTGGATGGGGTCCCGTGACTCCCATCACCTGAGGATGGTCTCTTCTGAGCATTCAACGGGCTCCTTGATGTCACCATCAGTGCTGGGCTCCCGTTGCCTGAAGATGGTCGTCCTCAAAAGGAGCAAAACTGCGCCAAAGCAGTGCATTATTAAATTCATTTTGTTGGGGAAATACTTTCCTCGGCCCATAACTTTGACCCAGTTTATCAGTTTGTACAATGAGCACCTGCGACCTTGGGTGCTGTGCTCTGTGTTTTGTCTCCCTGTTCCTGCCTGTTGGCGTCAGCTGATAGAGGTGTTATGGTTTTATCTTGTTATGCACAATGTTGATTATTCTCTCAGAACCAACTAAATACAGGGGTCTGGGGTAGAGATCTTCAGAATTGGTTTGGCATGTTCTGTGTCAACTCGTGGCACACGACGTGTCTTGTGAATTCTCCGGCCGAAGCTCCAAATAAACCATCACACTGTTAAGTCACTGTTTTTTGCCAAATGAGGAAACATAATGTTGATTGAGCGTGTCGCCCCTTGACAAAAGCCCTTTAATTTGAAAGATAAGGAATTGGCTGCTTTTGTTGACATGCCTGGGAAAAGTCTTTATTTGACTCTCTGGGAGATAAAGACAGAAACATACTGGCAATAGCAGCTTTTGTTATATATGCTTTCAAAGAGAACAAACCAGGGGCCTCATTTATAAACGGTGCGTACGCACAAAAGATGGCGTGCGCTAGTTTCTACGCACTGTTAGCGATTTATAAAAAACTAACTTGACGGGAAAATGTGCGGTCCTCCACGCAAACTCTGACCCATGCGTACGCACTAAGCACAAAAACGGGAGAGACGAGAAACTGCGACACCGTTGGCAGAAGGAAGAATGGAGATAAATATGTGGAAATAATACCATGAATAGAATGTTACCTCTCATTTATCATATATAAAGAATTCATTTTCACAAATGGATTAAAGCCAATCTTATAATGATTTAACAAACGCCTGTTTGAGACTCCTCAGTGCACACAAAAACATAACTTGGAGAAATAAATAAATACGGAAATGTTATTGATCACCCCTCGATTATGTTTTCTTAAGAAATATATTCTCATAAATGATGCGGTAAGCAGAAGGATATAATTACTTTAAACTGACGCCGTTTTGCATTTCTATAGGTTGTAGATACGAGCATGTTTAATCATGTTTTATGCCGTTCCCCAATAGCCTACTTGATAAGTCGCTCGTAAAACACAGGAGGTATGGAAACTAAGAACACCATATGTGGTAAATTGTACAGCTAATATAACACAACACATTAGTTGTATTTCCTTTAACTGGTGGATTATGGATATATAGTTGCTGATCGAAAACTGGAACACAAACCACCAAATACAAAAACATAATTCAGATCCAGTCGTCATGACTCCACTCCGGAGGGATTCCCCGATCATTTCTTACAGTTTCTCATCAAGGGGGTGTCTCCTGTCCCCGGTACAAACACACTGGCTGAGGAAGGCTATGTGTATTTTTTTTGTCATTAACCTTTTTCGGACCACTTATTTATTTATTTTGGTGACGATCCGACCTCCATGCTGCTACTCTGGTTCAAAGTGCATCCACCAAACAATATGATTTATCTCGACCTCTCCAAAATAACCAAAATCTGACACGGTGTGAGATGTCTTTTTTAGCTGTTCTGTTGTCATTTCCTGCGATCTTCTTCATGCAGTCAGTCAAAATGAATGAATGAATGGGCGTTTCTTTGACTATTTATAGGCAAATATGGGCGTTACGTGAAGCCTGCAAAAGCTGCGCCGCATTTCGAGTTGATTGTGATTTATAAAGAGAAACCGGCGTAGGATGTGCTGTACACAAGTCCTGCGCCGGTACGCAGTCTTTTATTAATCAGAAAGTGTCGGTGCGTATTTATTTGCTTTGTCCTACGTAAGCAACCTTCCTACGCAAGGCTTTATAAATGAGGCCCCAGATGATTCACAATGCAACTTCAAATGTATCTCACTTGTGCTACAACATTGCAGAAAGTAAAAAAGGCACTAAATGGAATACGTTGGTGTCAGTGATGGCTGTCCTTAACGGACCTTAGAGCCGTTAACATACGTTTCGTTTTTGAAAGTGAAATCGTGTTCATCTGTATCAGACATTGCACAATTAATCAGTTAATCATTGCTCTTGGATTATTAACACTGAACCCTAGCGCTTTATGACCGTGCCAAAGCAGTGCGTTATAATATGAAATAAAAGCAAATGTGTTCAGTTCAAATTTATAAAGAAAAACCCTGCTGTTATTTACAAACTATATTTATGAATACATTGAGCTATTAAGTTATTAAGACTCTCAGCCTTTCATAACGCACAGTTTGAGATTTGAAGATTAAATAATTGAACTTTTCATTCAAAGCATGTTATACCAAAACAACATTCACCAAAAAGATTAAATAGTACACAAAGGAAATCAAAAGTATGGAGACGAAACAAGACATACATCAGAACAACCCTTGCAGGATGTTCAGGTGTTAAACAATATCTTTACACTCCCTGTTTTAATGTTATCTTTGTTTCTAAATGCGCTCAAAACGCAGAAATAAACAAAAATAAATACAAAAATAATGCAGAGCCCCAATCAATTTGTCTGTTTTCTGGTTTGTTTTAATACTGTTTGTGAGGTGGAAATCATCAGTGTTGCTTTCAGAGCAGTCTCTTAGATACACAAGTGGGTTTTGGTTTTCTTCCCAGGAGCCCTCAAGATACATTTTTGTATCTTATTTATTAACATAATAAATAATTATACTCAATACAATTACAATTACAACTATGCAGGCCAAAATACAAAAACAACACCTTATACAGAATTCAAAGGTGTTGCAACAGTCTGATTCTGTGTTTACCGGTCGCCTGCTGGCGACACGGTCCTCATCGCCCATATTCAGTGCAACGTAACCCTGGTTTTGGACATTTCTAGGAACATTGTGCTCTCTCTCATTTCTAGGATTTCTTCTGTTTTCAGGTCGGTTGTTTTGTTGCTTAGAGGAGTGCTTTTCCTGGAGCACAATATACAGCAGCAGTCCAAGGCAAGCAAGTTCACCCCATGTGTTTTCAATGTCAAAATCGTCAGCGCTGCTTCCAAAGCGGTTTCTGAGATACGACAGTGGCTGTTGATCTTCTCCCACAGAAAACTCTCTGATCTCTCTCAGGAGGTTCGTGCTGATCCTGTAGGTATGATCTGGATCATAAAGTGTCCCCTGATGTGGAATATGCTGTGTGATATACACTTGGTCTATCGTCTGGTAAGATCGTCCATGTATGTTTTGCTCCCTGACCCGAAATATGATCCTGTCCATGTTTCTTCCCATATCCTCAATGATGGGATCGAAAACATAAGGAGGAAGTTGGGTTGACGTTTCCTCATTGAGATTTCCAATCGTGTAGTACCTGTGTTGATTTCCCCGAGGCAGAGGGTCCAGCACCCCCTCATAGTTGCCATAATGATGGGAACCATAATCTTCCCTGTTTGGGTCAAAGGTCAGTTCTATTATATCGTTGTTGTCGATGTCGATCTCGTTGGCAAACCAGTGGAGCAGCAGGAGACTGTGCTTGGGCACAGATTGGCCGAAGTTGATTTTCTTCAAACCAATGATTGATTTGAGCGTCTTCTGTACAGCTGACACAGAGGTCAGGGCGAGGAGCAGAGCTACAAAGCACCAAGTGACTCCTCCCGACATCTTCATCATCCTGGGTCCACTTGACTCTCAATCAGGATGTCCAAAGCCCTTTTAAAAAAGGTAGAAATGTAGAGTAGAGAATGTGTATTAAAAACAGATTCATTTAATCTATGTGTTTTTACTTAAAGGTCACCTATTGTGCAAAATGCACTTGTTCATGTCCTTTATACATAAACACGTGTCCCCTCTGTGTAAAGAGATTCTGAACGTTTCAGGAAAAAAGATTCTCTCTCTTTTGGTCCTGATCCATTTCTATAAAAACCTGTCTGAAAATGAGCTGATCAGATTTTAGCCACTTTGATGTCATAACAATGTTTTGGCTTGTGTAACCATTAGCCAATAACCAACAAGGTAACCCCCGCCCACCTTATCACCTGAATCTCCTCCTAGAGCACCATTGTGTTCTTTTTAACCACATATCTCTGAGGAGCGTGGGGAGTGGCTCCTTATTTTCATCTAAAGTAAAAGACTGGGGCCGTTTCTCAATGTCGAGTACACCTGCTGCAGAGCCACTATTTTAAGTATACTACGTCATCGAGTGGCGCCGAAGGACTGTTTAAATGCATGTTCAATGCTCAGCATTCTGCGCCACTCTGACGTAGTATACTTGAAATAGTGGCTCTGCAGCATGTGTACTCGACATTGAGAAACGGCCAGAGAATCAGCACTTTTGAAACAGGGCTGAAACAGAGGGGATTATGGGATGCTGCAATGATCTGTTTGGTATTTGGAGCCAAACACTTCAGAGACATGTTTTGTATATATCTGAGACCTATAATATATTGATGAAAAACAGTATAATAGGGGACCTTTTAATGTTGGTATTACAATGTTTTAAGAATTCAAAGTCATTGTAAGTCTAATACTTGATATGCAGGGTAGTCAAATGTCAACCCTGTTGGCATAAAATAGGCTCGTAGTGATTGGAATACATTATTTTGATATCATCCTTTTTTCTATAAAACGCACATAATACATATGAAAAAGGTGAAATAATTTGATTGGAAATGTTTTACATTTTTATTTATCTGGGAATCAATTGTATATTTTCTGAGCTCTATATATAGCTTACTTTTCATTATTCATTTAAGAATATTTATACAAAAATAATGAATCTTGCTGTAAGTGGGAGACATTTTGACTAGCCCCATCATATATTTCTCAATTACATTACAAGTTATAATACATTGTTTGCAAATAATATTTTAGTAGTAAATCTCTTCATAAAAGCATACACTACTTACATTTGCAGTTTTAATCTGAGTTTTAGTCAACTTGAACCCCTATTGTTCACTGCGCCATTTAACATCCAATCTGTACTTTCTCAAAGCATAAATGCCATTGTAACAAGATATGCATCAAATAGTTATTATGGTTCGATCGGTCAAGTAAACATTGAAACAGGTTTTTCTTGTTGTTATCCCTTCTGCTCATACTGACCAATAGGCATTACGAGGGCATCCACAGTCTTCTTATTGAGCAAAACATTTATGTTTAAGTTCTCTGAGTTTATTTTGAGGCTTCAGCAGCCTGAGTTCATCAAATCAAGCAAGTACCAAGTTACACTCTATCTAGTAGACTGTTTTAATACACAGCGTTTCCTTGTTGAGCTGCGGTGGAGGGATAGTAACACGAAGAGGAGAGAAAACTCAAATACAAAACTTGAATCAAAGTCTTCTTCCAAACATGTGAAATAGTGCCAAAGTAAATAATAAAAACAAAGTAGTGATCAGAAAAAAGGAGAGCTCACCTCTGTTAGTCTGCTGCTGTCGAGTGTTAGATCTGTGTGTGTGTGTATATAGAGGAAACTCTCCCTAGGTTTCAGTTTCCCTGTAAATGAAACTGGCAAAACAAGTGCTGCCGGTGGTAACAAGAAGTTTGATCACATGGCTGTTTAAAAAAAAACATTCTGATTTCAAGATATGAAAAGTAGTCTTTAGAAATGCAAAAAGCAAAGGATAAAATATTTTAGTAGCGTTTTGTCGCTTGTGATGCCAAAGATAACAAATCTGATTTTACAGAATATAATGTTAAAGGTTTCTTTATTATTTTGCATATCTAAATTGTGCTCGGTTCCCTAAAACCTCAAATGAAAAGCTGACATCAGTCTTACTGACACATTACAATTTAATAAACACACACAATTTATGACATTACAGAAAGTATAAAAAAAGAAATGCATCCATGTCAGTGACGGCTGTCCTTTGCAGACCGTACAGTCATTCACCGATCTGATTGGTTTATCAATCAGTGCTGCTTGAATTCTCTTCATCTGTCTCACACACAGGAGGAATCCTCAGTGAATCATAGCTATTACATTATACATGCTGGAACAAAACTGACATGTTCACGCGTGTTTCCTTCTTCCCAATCAACTTTTGAATCCTGCTGACTTTGTGAGAAACATTGGGCTTAAACACATTATATGGTAATTTCTCTCATTTCAATTTATCTTCTTGCTGCAGAATTTGCCAAAATAATAAGAACAATTAAAAGAACAACAACAAACATGCAGCACTTCACAAAAGCCGCACACCAATCCGTTTGTCTGTTATCTGGTGTGGAGGCGCTTTGTTGTCTGACTTGCGGTGTGTAGGCGCTTTGTTGTCTGACTTGCGGTGTGTAGTTGGATTGTGGGGTAAAGGGGTGCCTTTCCCCGAGCACAATATACAGCAGCAGTCCAAGGCAAGCAAGGTGACCCCATGTGTTTCTGATTTGTGCATCATCAGCGCTGCTTCCAAAGCGGTTGCTGAGATACGACAGTGGCTGTTGGTCTTCTCCCACAGCAAACTCTCTGATCTCTCTCAGGAGGTTCGTGGTGATCCTGTAGGTATGATCTGGATCATATTCCCCCTGATCTTGAAAATGCTGTGTGATATACACGCGGTCTATTCTCCAGGAAGTTTGCCATCCTGTGTTTTGCTCCCTGACGAGAACTATGATCCTGTCCCTGTTTTCTCCTGCAAAAGCTCTTCGGGGACGCGCTACGTAAGATGGAAGTGGATTGGACGTTTCCTGATGGAGATTTCCAATAGTGTAGTAGTGGTATGGATTTCCCCTAGGCCTAGGCAATGGGTCCAGCAGCTCCTCATAGTTGCCATAATAATGTGAACCATAATCCCCATCGTTTGGGTCAAAGGTCAGACTTATGACATTGTTCTCATCAATGTTAACTGTGTTGGCAAACCAGTGGAGCAGCAGAAGACTGTGCTTGGGCACAGATTGGCCGAAGTTGATGTTCTTCAAATCACTGATTGATTTGAGCTTTTTCTGTACAGCTGACACAGAGGTCAGGGCGAGGAGCAGAGCTACACAGCACCAAGTGACTCTTCCTGATATCTTCATCATCCTGTATCAAAGTGACATGCAATTTAGATGTCCAAAGGCCTTTATGGAGTAAAAAGAAGGACATGTTTATAAAAATCTGATTTATAGAAACTAATAGTCTCTGTTTCTCAAATGATACAAATAGCTATTCAGGGTAATACAACATTTAAAAATGGTAAGACATTCTAGTCAGAAATTATCAGAAGATTGTCTGGATCTTTTTTGATGAAATGCAGAAAATGTTTTAATCAAATAAAACCTAAATTAGGTCCCACCGGCATTATTGCATGAGTTTTGTCAAAAACAAAAAATAACATGAATGTAATTATTATACTTTGGATCTTTCTGTCCTAAAATGGTCCGGCAGCCAATGTCAACCCCCAATTACCATCATTATGGAGCCATTTTCAAGTATGTGATTTTTTTTAAATACGATATCATACAGTACAACCCTAAAAGACCCCTAAACAAAAGTGAGAGGTTTAATAGGTGTTTCTTAAAAATGACACTGTGTAGAAACATCCTGTGTCATTTAGAAAATTGCAAAAAATAAAAGTGATGTCTTCATATTGAGCAAAAATGTATTTTTAGGTTGTCTGAGTTTATTTTGAGGCTTCAGCAGCCTGAGTTCATCAAATCAAGCAAGTACCAAGTTACACTCTATCTAGTAGACTGTTTTAATACACAGCGTTTCCTTGTTGAGCTGCGGTGGAGGGATCGTAACACGAAGAGGAGAGAAAACTCAAATACATAACTGGAATCAAAGTCTTCTTCCAAACATGTGAAATAGTGCCAAAGTAAATAATCAAAACAAACTAGTGATCAGAAAAAAGGAGAGCTCACCTCTGTTAGTCTGCTGCTGTCGAGTCCCAGATCTGTGTCTGTGTGTGTGTGTGTGTGTGTGTGTGTGTGTGTGTGTGTGTGTGTGTGCGCGAGTAAGTTTCAGTTTCCCGTAAATAAAACTGGCAAAACATCTGTTGCTGGTGGTCACAGGAAGTTTGATCACATGGCTGTTTAAAAAAAGAAATTCTGGTTTCAAGATATGAAAAGTAGTCTTTAGAAATGCAAAAAGCAAATGATAAAATATGTATAGCAGTGTTTTGTCACTTGTGATGCCAAAGATAACAAATCTGATCTTCCAGAATATAATGTTAAAGGTGTCTTTATTATTTTGCACATCTAAATTGTGCTCAGTTCCCTAAAACCTCAAATGAAAAGCTGACACCAGTCTTACTGACACATTACAATTTAATAAACACACACAATTTATGACATTACTGGAAGTATAAAAAAAGTTAAATGCATCCATGTCAGTGACGGCTGTCCTTTGCAGACCGTACAGTCATTCACCGATCTGTTTGGTTTATCAATCAGTGCTGCTTGAATTCTCTTCATCTGTCTCACACACAGGAGGAATCCTCAGTGAATCATAGCTATTACATTATACATGCTGGAGCAAAACTGAAGCCTGCAGCTTCATGACTGCACCAAAGCAGTGCATTATTACAAAAACAACAAAAGCCAATGTGCACATTTCAAATAGAAGAAGAAGAAGCCTCAAAAGATCGAGGATTTAAAGTATTTGGCCTGTCATCTAAAGCAGTGGTTCTCAACTGGTGGGTCGCGACCCAAAAGTGGGTCGCGGACCCGTTTCAAGTGGGTCGCGGATGTGTGAGTGAAGAAAAAAAAGTTGAAAAAAAAAATTGCAATTTTTTTTTTTTTTTTTTGGGGGGAAAAATGCAAACTTTTATTTTGAAGGACCGATTTTCTAACGCTGTGCATGCAGTAGGCGTTGGACTGGAAGTACCGGAGACCATAAATGGTTTTGAAAACGTCTGTCACGTAGTGATCATCTTCTCAATAAAACATCTCTGCTGATGTTTTTTCGAGTCTTCTGGCCAATCAGAATCAAGATTGTTGCCGGAAGTCCCCACGGAGAATAACTGCGGTAGAACTCTTCTTTATACATCCATGGGTACAACTTCAGATAAAAATGAACACATAATGAAATATGACCCCCGGTTTGATGATTGACAGGTCACAGAACAATGGGAGCTATCTACCCTTACCCACAATTTAAAGTAAATCACACAGACTATCTCCTCTTCTCGCAGCAAGATGTCAGAACTAAGTGAAAAACAAACAATGGCATAAAATATTATTAATATGTCGGGTAGTAATAGAGTTATTTATTTTCTTCTCAGAGTGTACCAGAATGCGTAGTTTATGTTAGTATTTCTAAAAATCTCCTGGGGGAGAATCCCCCCAGACCCCCCTGCTGGGGTTGGGTTTTCAGCATGTGTGCCTTTTTATATAGTTCAGCTTTGATTCCATCATCTCATTAAACCTTGTTTAAAAGCATACTTTAGTTCTGTGAAGGGATATAAGGGATATATGCACTGTACTTCACTTTTATTAATATTGTATTCTCAAAAGCGTATATATTACAGCACGATATTTTGTTGAATAGATTTGAGTGCTTCAAAATGTTGGGTCGCGATGTATTGACCAAGTAAAAAGTGGGTCCCGAGGCCTAACCAGTTGAGAACCACTGATCTAAAGCATGTCATACAAAGCCTTTATCTGAAATATAAATGAACACCATTCACCAAAAAAGTTATATAATACAAATGTACAATTAAACACAGAAGTAAAACAAAGCATAAAACAGAAGAACCCCTGGACATGTTCACGCGTGTTTCCTTCTTTCCAATCAACTTTTTAATCCTGCTGACTTTGTGAGAAGCATTATGGCAATTTATTTACCCTCTCTCATTTCAAGGTATCTCCTTTCTAAATAAATTGCCAAAATAAAAAGACAAATTGAAAGAAACACAACGATCATGTAGCAGTTCATACCAATCAGTTTGTCTGTTATCTGGTGTGTAGGCGCTTTGTTGTCTGAATTGCGTTGTGTGGTAAAGGGGTGCCTTTCCTCGAGCACAATATACAGCAGCAGTCCAAGGCAAGCAAGCTGACCCCATGTGTTTCTGATTTGTGCATCATCAGCGCTTGAATATTGCCTTTTGGCTGACAGTAAAAAGTAGAGTGTTTGAAAATGTAGGATGAGTGATGAGCATGAAACTAAATAATATCAGCTGGTTTCAAAACAATATTTTCCCATCATTAAGGGTGATCTTTTCATGCTTTTCTAAAACATATATTGATTAGCTTTTTAAAGGCCTTTTTTAGTCAAGATATTTAAAATAATTACAACATTGCAAAATATAAGCAGTGAGAACCTACAATATCTTTTTTTTCTAAATACTAAAACTGCCACATATCAGTAGCAATGAGCTGTGTGTGTACCTCCCATGTCATTGTATAGTAATTGGAGTTATGTTGGAGATTTTCATTTAAAAACAAAATTCTGTTTGTTGGGGAAATACTTTCCTCGGCCCATAACTTTGACCCAGTTTATCAGTTTGTACAATGAGCACCTGCGACCTTGGCAGCTGTGCTCTCAGTGTTTTGTCTCCCTGCTCCTGCCTGTTGGTGTCAGCTGATGGAGGTGTTATGGTTTTATCTTGTTATGCACAATGTTGATTATTCTCTCAGAACCAGATAAATACAGGGGTCTGGGGTAGAGATCTTCAGAATTGGTTTGGCATCTTCTGTGTCAACTCGTGGCACACGACGTGTCTTGTGAATTCTCCGGCCAAATGAGGAAACATAATGTTGATTGAGCGTGTCGCGCATTGACAAAAGCCCTTTCATTTGAAAGATAAGGAATTGGGTGCGTTTGTTGACATGCCCGGGAAAAGTCTTTATTTGACTCTCTGGGAGATAAAGACAGAAACATAGTGGCAATAGCAGCTCTTGTTATATATGCTTTCAAAGAGAACAAACCAGATGATTCACAATGCAACTTCAAATGTATCTCACTTGTGCTACAACATTGTAGAAAGTAAAAAAGGCACTAAATGGAATACGTTAGTGTCAGTGACGGCTGTCCTTAACGGACCTTAGAGCCGTTAACATATGTTTCCTTTTTTGAAAGGGAAATTGTATTTTCATCTGTATCAGACATTGTAAAAATCATCAGTTAATCATTGCTATTGGATTATTAATGCTGAACCCTAGAGCTTTATGACCGTGCCAAAGCAGTGCGTTATAATATGCAATAAAAGCCAATGTGTTCAGTTCCAATTATAAAGAAAAAACCCTGCTGTTACAAACTGTATTTATGAATACATGGAGCTATTAAGTTCTAAATGTCCTGAAGACTCTCAGCCTTTCATAACGCACAGTTTGAGATTTGAAGATTAAAGAATTTAACTTTTCATCAAAAGTATTATTATGTGTTATACCAAAACAACATTCACCAAAAAGATTAAATAGTACACAAAGGAAATCAAAAGTATGGAGACGAAACAAGACATACATCAGAACAACCCTTGCAGGATGTTCAGGTGTTAAACAATATCTTTACACTCCCTGTTTTAATGTTATCTTTGTTTCTAAATGCGCTCAAAATGCAGAAATAAACAAATTAAATACAAAAAAAATGCAGAGCCCCAATCAATTTGTCTGTTTTCTGGTTTGTAGTTCTTTTTTTTTTTAAACTGTGTTTGTGAGGTGGAAATCATCAGTGTTGCTTTCAGAGCAGTCTCTTAGATACACAAGTGGGTTTTGGTTTTCTTCCCAGGAGCCCTCAAGATACATTTTTGTATCTCTTATTTTTTTATAACAAAAAAATAAATAATTATACCCAATACAATTAAAATTATGCAGGCAAAACAACAACCAAAACAGATTATACAGGATTTCAAGGTGTTGCAACAGTCTGATTCTGTGTTTACCGGTTGGCTGCTGGCTACACGGTCCTCATAATCGCCCATATTCACTGCAACATAACCCTGGTTTTGGACATTTCTAGGAACATTGTGCTCTCTCTCATTTCTAGGAACATTGTGCTCTCTCTCATTTCTAGGAACATTGTGCTGTCTCTCATTTCTAGGAACATTGTGCTCTCTCTCATTTCTAGGATTTCTTCTGTTTTCAGGTCGGTTGTTTTGTTGCTTAGAGTGCTTTTCCTGGATCACAATATACAGCAGCAGTCCAAGGCAAGCAAGGGGACCCCATGTGTTTCTGATTTGTTCCTCATCAGCGCTGCTTCCAAAGCGGTTTCTGAGATGCGACAGTTGGTTTTGTCCCACAGCAAACTCTCTGATCTGTCTCAGGAGGTTAGGGGTGATGCTGTATGTATGATCTGGATCATAAGGTGTCCCCTGATTTTCAGAAGTGTCATAATGCTGTGTGATATACACTTCGTCTATCGTCTGGTAAGCTTGCCCTCGGTTTTGCTCCCTGACTCGAACTATGATCCTGTCCCTGTTTTCTCCATCATAATCCGTTCCGGGATGCGCTACATACGCTGGAAGTGGATTGGACGTTCCCTGATGGAGATTTCCAATCGTGTAGTAATGGTATTGATTTCTTTGAGGCAGTGGGTCCAGCAGATCCTCATAGTTGCCATAATGATGGGAACCATAATCTCCACTGTTTGGGTCAAAGGTCAGCTGTATAATATTGTTGTTGTCGATGTCGATCTCGTTGGCAAACCAGTGGAGCAGCAGGAGACTGTGCTTGGGCACAGATTGGCCGAAGTTGATTTTCTTCAAACCAATGATTGATTTGAGCGTCTTCTGTACAGCTGACACAGAGGTCAGGGCGAGGAGCAGAGCTACACAGCACCAAGTGACTCTTCCTGATATCTTCATCATCCTGCGTCCACTTGACTCTCAATTAAGATGTCCAAAGCCCTTTTATGAGGTAGAAATATAGAGTTCAGAAAGTTTATAAAAACAGATTCATTTAATCTATTAATGATACAAAAATGTATTGAGGGTATTACAATGTTTTAAGAATGAAAAGATATTGTAGTCTCAAAATGACTTCTTGGTGAAAAGCAAAAAGTGTGATTTCCTTGCTCTGCAGGAGTGCCACTCTTCAACCCTGTCGGCATTACATAGGCCCGTATTAATTGGACTACAACATTGTTTTTATATCATCTTTCTTTTCTATAGTAGACGGCACACATAATAAATCTGAACATTTGAAATAATTTCATTGGAAATGTTAAACATTTGTATTTACTTGCCAAATCATGGAATCAGTTGTATATTTCCTGAGCCCTATATACTGTATAGGTTACTTTTCATTATTCATTCAAAAATATTTAGAAAAAAATAATTAACCTAAAGTGGGAGACATTTTGACAAGCTGCATCATGTAATCCTCAATTTAAAAAAAAACAAAACGTATAATACATTGTTTGAAAATAATATTTTAGAAGTAACTAAAAACATTGTAAATAATCTCAAAGCATACACTACTTACATTTGCAGTTTTAATCTGAGTTCTATTCACCTTGAAAACCCTTATTGTTCACTCCGCCATTTAACATCCAATCTGTACTTGTATAAAACATTTATTTTAAAGTTCTTGAGTTTATTTTCGGGCTTCAGCAGCCTGAGTTCATCAAATCAAGAGAGTACCAAGTTACACTCTATCTAGTAGGCTGTTTTAATACACAGCGTTTCCTTGTTGAGCTGCGGTGGAGGGATAGTAACACGAAGAGGAGAGAAAACTCAAATACAAAAACTAGAATCAAAGTCTTCTTCCAATCATTTGAAATAGTGCCAAAGTAAATAATAAAAACAAAGTAGTGATCAGAAAAAAGGAGCGCTCACCTCTGTTAGTCTGCTGCTGTCGAGTGTCAGATCTGTGTGTGTGTGTGTGTGTGTGTATATAGAGGAAACTCTTGCTAGGTTTCAGTTTCCCGTAAATAAAACTGGCAAAACAACTGCTGCTTGTGGTAACAGGAAGTTTGATCATACAGGTGTTTGAAAAAACATTCTGATTTCAAGATATAAAAAGTAGTCTTTAGAAATGCAAAAGGCAAAGGATAAAATATTTTAGTAGCGTTTTGTCGCTTGTGATGCCAAAGATAACAAATCTGATCTTCCAGAATATAATGTTAAAGGTTTCTTTATTATTTTGCACATCTAGATTGTGCTCAGTTTCCGAAAAGCTGACACCAGTCTTACTGACACATTACAATTTAATAAACACACACAATTTATGACATTACAGGAAGTATAAAAAAAGAAATGCATTCATGTCAGTGACGGCTGTCCTTGGCAGACCGTACAGTCATTCACCGATCGGTTTGGTTTATCAATCAGTGCTGCTTGAATTCTCTTCATCTGTCTCACACACAGGAGGAATCCTCAGTGAATCATAGCTATTACATTATACATGCTGGAGCAAAACTGAAGCCTGCTGCTTATTACTGCACCAAAGCAGTGCATTATTAAATGCATTTTGTTGGGGAAATATTTTCTAAGGCCCATAACTTTGACCCAGTTTATCAGTTTGTACAATGAGCACCTGCGACCTTGGCAGCTGTGCTCTCAGTGTTTTGTCTCCCTGCTCCTGCCTGTTGGCGTCAGCTGATAGAGGTGTTATGGTTTTATCTTGTTATGCACAATGTTGATTATTCTCTCAGAACCAGATAAATACATGGGTCTGGGGTAGAGATCTTCAGAATTGGTTTGGCATGTTCTGTGTCAACTCGTGGCACACGACGTGTCTTGTGAATTCTCCGGCCGAAGCTCCAAATAAACCATCACACTGTTAAGTCACTGTTTTTTGCCGAATGAGGAAACATAATAGTGATTGAGCGTGTCGCGCATTGACAAAAGCCCTTTAATTTGAAAGATAAGGAATTGGCTGCGTTTGTTGACATGCCTGGGAAAAGTCTTTATTTGACTCTCTGGGAGATAAAGACAGAAACATACTGGCAATAGCAGCTTTTGTTATATATGCTTTCAAAGAGAACAAACCAGATGATTCAGAATGCAGCTTCAAATGTATCTCACTTGTGCTACAACATTGCAGAAAGTAAAAAAGGCACTAAATGGAATACGTTAGTGTCAGTGACGGCTGTCCTTAACGGACCTTAGAGCCGTTAACATATGTTTCCTTTTTTGAAAGTGAAATTGTGTTCTTTTCATCTGTATCAGACATTGTACAATTCATCAGTTAATCATTGCTCTTGGATTATTAATGCTGAACCCTAGAGCTTTATGACCGTGCCAAAGCAGTGCGTTATAATATGCAATAAAAGAAAAAACCCTGCTCTTATTTACAAACTATATTTATGAATAAATGGAGCTATTAAGTTCTAAAGACTCTCAGCCTTTCATAACGCACAGTTTGAGATTTGAAGATTAAAGAATTGAACTTTTCATTTAAAGCATGTTATACCAAAACAACATTCACCAAAAAGATTAAATAGTACACAGTAAATCAAAAGTATGGAGACGAAACAAGACATACATCAGAACAACCCTTGCAGGATGTTCAGGTGTTAAACAATATCTTTACACTCCCTGTTTTAATGTTACCTTTGTTTCTAAATGCACTCAAAATGCAGAAATAAACAAAAATAAATACAAAAAGAATGCAGAGCCCCAATCAATTTGTCTGTTTTCTGGTTTGTTTTAATACTGTTTGTGAGGTGGAAATCATCAGTGTTGCTTTCAGAGCAGTTTCTTAGATACAAAAGTGGCTCTTGGTTTTCTTCCTAGGAGCCCTCAAGAAAAAGTAATTATACCCCATACAATTACAAACATGCAGGCAAAACAACACATACAGGTTTTTAAGGTGTTCCAACAGTCTGATTCTCCGTCCTCTTCATCGTTGAAATCTAATACAACATGACCCTGGTTTTGGACCTTTCTAGGCTCTCTCTCATTACTAGGATTTCTTCTGTTTTCCGGGCGGTTGTTTTGTTGCTTAGAGGACTGCTTTTCCTGGATCACAATATACAGCAGCAGTCCAACGCAAGCAAGTTCACCCCATGTGTTTTCGATGTTGAAATCGTCAGCGCTGCTTCCGAAGCGGTTTCTGAGATACGACAGTGGCTGTTGATCTTCTCCCACAGAAAACTCTCTGATCTCTCTCAGGAGGTTCGTGCTGATCCTGTAGGTATGATCTGGATCATAAAGTGTGCCCTGATGTGGAATATGCTGTGTGATATACACTTGGTCTATCGTCTGGTAAGATCGTCCATGTATGTTTTGCTCCCTGACCCGAAATATGATCCTGTCCATGTTTCTTCCCATATCCTCAATGATGGGATTGACTACATAAGGAGGAAGTTGGGTTGACGTTCCCCGATTGAGATTTCCAATCGTGTAGTACCTGTGTTGATTTCCCCAAGGCAGAGGGTCCAGCAGATCCTCATAGTTGCCATAATGATGGGAACCATAATCTTCCCTGTTTGGGTCAAAGGTCAGCTGTATAATATCGTTGTTGTCGATGTCGATCTCGTTGGCAAACCAGTGGAGCAGCAGGAGACTGTGCTTGGGCACAGATTGGCCGAAGTTGATTTTCTTCAAACCATTGATTGATTTGAGCGTCTTCTGTACAGCTGACACAGAGGTCAGGGCGAGGAGCAGAGCTACACAGCACCAAGTGACTCCTCCCAACATCTTCATCATCCTGGGTCCACTTGACCCTCAATTAGGATGTCCAAAGCCCTTTTAAAAAAGGTAGAAATAGAGTAGAGAATGTGTATTAAAAACAGATTTATTTAATCTATCAATGTGTTTTTACTTAATGTTGGTATTACAATGTTTTAAGAATTCAAAGTCATTGTAAGTCTAATACTTCATATGCAGGGTAGTCACATTTCAACCCTGTTGGCATAAAATAGGCTCGTAGTGATTAGAATACATTATTTTGATATCATCCTTTTTTCTATTGTGCGCACATAATATGAAAAAGGTGAAATAATTTGATTGGAAATGTTAAACATTTTGGTAACACTTTATATTAAGGTACACAAATTCACCATCAACTAGTTGTTAATTAACATGCATATTAGCAGTATATTGGCTCTTTAGTAGTCATTATAAAACACTTATTAATGCCTTATTCTACTTGACCATATTCTACAAGTAATAGGCCATTAGCTGAGAGTTTTTCCTCAATAACCCTCTAATTAGTGCTTATTTATTGTAAGGAAGTTGTTGTACATGAGTTTTGGTCTTATTATGCTCTGCTCAATATGGGCCTAATAAGGCAGTAGTACCACAGGAATAGTTATTCTCCCATAATAACACTTAACAAATATGATCTATTCTTATCTTATGTTATGTCAGGTTTCCCTTGAAAAAGAGATCGTTGATCTCAATGGGATTTTTAACCTGGTTAAATAAAGGCTACAAACATGTAACAAGACATGAAACTATAAGTGTTAATTGTGTCTAAATAACAAAAATTAAGTATTTCTATCTAAGAATATGTTTTGGGGTATTGACAGTTCAGCTACCAATAGCAAGGTGATATTGACCTGTATGTTTCATATTTGCACATTTATATTTTTGTAAAATGTGTACTGAAGGTTAGACAGGAAACCGGGTACAGGAAGTAGGAGAAAGTGAACTGAATAGCATGGCAGTAGACTACTACAAATTGTCCCTATGCAACCTGAAGAGTAAAAGGGTCAAGTCCGTCAGAAAGCAATGACTGTAAGTGTAAGCCTTAGACTTACACTGTAAGGATTAGTAACATGTATTGTGTTTATGTGATGACATTTGGAGATGTTTAAACTCAATGACAAAATGCGTTAGTAACACGAGGAGGAGAGAAAACTCATACAAAGCTGGAATCAAAGGCTTCCACCAATTGTGTGAAATAGTGCTAAATAATCATCAACTAGTGATCAGTAAATAGGAGAGCTCACCTCTGCTGCTGGCGAGTGTCAGATCTGTGTGAGAGTGTAGAGGAAACTCTCCCTTGGTTTCAGTTTCCCCGTAAATTAAACTGGCAAAACAACTGTTGCCGGTGGTAACAAGAAGTTTGATCAGATGGCTGTTTAAAAAAAAACATTCTGATTTCAGATATGAAAAGTAGTCTTTGGAAATGCAAAAAGCAAATGATAAAATATCAAAATAAAATGTTTAGCTGTGTTTTGTCACTTGTGATGCCAAAGATAACAAATCTGATCTTCTAGAATATAATGTTAAAGATTTCTTTATTATTTTGCACATCTAAATTGTCCTCAGTTTCCTAAAACCTCAAATGAAAAGCTGACACCAGTCTTACTGACACATTACAATTTAATAAACACACACAATTTATGACATTACAGAAAGTATAAAAAATGAAATGCATTCATGTCAGTGACGGCTGTCCTTGGCAGACCGTACAGTCATTCACCGATCGGTTTGGTTTATCAATCAGTTCAAATAGAATAAATGTAACTTTGAAGTATTTGGCCTGTCATCTAAAGCATGTCATACAAAGCCTTTATCTCAAATATAAAATATAAAATATAAACTAACACCATTCACAAAAAAAGTTATATAGTACAAATTACAATTAAACACAGAAGTAAAACAAAGCATAAAACAGAAGAACCCCTGGACATGTTCACGCGTGTTTCCTTCTTCCCAATCAACTTTTGAATCCTGCTGACTTTGTGAGAAGCATTATGCTAAAACACATTATATGGCAATTTATTTACCCTCTCTCATTTCAATTTATCTTCTTGCTGCAGAAATTGCAAAAATTAAAAGACAAATTAAAAGAACAACGATCATGAAGCACTTCACAAAAGCTGCACACCAACTAGTTTGTCTGTTATCTGGTGTGTAGGCGCTTTGTTGTCTGACTTGCGGTGTGTAGTTGGATTGTGGGGTAAAGGGGTGCCTTTCCCCGAGCACAATATACAGCAGCAGTCCAAGGCAAGCAAGGTGACCCCATGTGTTTCTGATTTGTGCATCATCAGCGCTGCTTCCAAAGCGGTTGCTGAGATACGACAGTGGCTGTTGGTTTGGTCCCACAGAAAACTCTCTGATCTCTCTCAGGAGGTTAGTGGTGATGCTGTAGGTATGATCTGGATCATATTCCCTCTGATGTAGAAAACTCTGTGGAAAATGCTGTGTGATATACACTTGGTCTATCCTCCGGGAAGTTCGCCTTCCTGAATTTGGCTCCCTGACACGAACTATGATCCTGTCCCTGTTTTCTCCTTCATAATCACTTTGGGGATGCGCTACATAAGGAGGAAGTGGATCGGACGTTTCCTGATGGAGATTACCAATCGTGTAGTACCTGTAATGACTTCCCCGAGTCAGTGGGTCCAGCAGCCCCTCACCGTTGCCATAATGATGTGAGCCATAAGCTCTACTGTTTGGGTCAAAGGTCAGACTTATGACATTGTTATCGTCAATGGTAACTGTGTTGGCAAACCAGTGGAGCAGCAGAAGACTGTGCTTGGGCACAGATTGGCCAAAGTTGATTTTCTTCAAATCACTGATTGAATTCAGCTCTCTCTGTACAGCTGACACAGAGGTCAGGGCGAGGAGCAGAGCCACACAGCACCAAGTGACTCTTCCTGATATCTTCATCATCCTGTATCAAAGTGACATGCAATTTAGATTTATGGAGTAAAAACAAGGAAATGTTTATAAAAATCAGATTTATAGAAACTAATAGTCTGTTTCTCAAATGATACAAATAGCTATTCAACATTTAAAAAGTTTGAGACATTCTAGTCAGAAATTACCAGATATTCGTCTGCACCTTTTTGATGAAATGCAGAACATGTTTTAATCAAATAAAACCTAAATGAGCTCCCACAGGCATTATTGTATGAGTTTTGTCAACAATATATTTAAACAAAAAAACATGAATTGAGTTATTATACTTCAGATCTTAGATCACAATATTGAGAGGTTTAATAGGTCTGTCTTTTAAAATAACAATGTGTAGTGACAACATCCTTTGTCATTTTGGAAATAGCTACTATACAAAAGTGATATAATTTAGATTTAATCCAAATGTGTTTATTTAATATGAATACACAGTCCTCATTCTGTTTAAATATGCATTTGTATATTGTTTGTTGTTATTATGAGGCTTCAGCAGACTGAGTTAATCAAATCAACTGATGATTGCCGTCTACGTAGTTCAAAAGTAGTTTTAACTCAGCAGTTCCTTGTTAAGCTGCGATGCAGAGCAAGTACCACAGAGGAGAACACAACAAAAAACGTTAACAATATTGTGAAATAGTGCCCAAGTAAATAATTAACAGAAATAATGTTTAGAAAATGACAGTATTAACCTGCTTTAGTCGGTTGCCTTCAAGTATCTGGTCTCTGCAAATCTGCGAGAGCATGCAACACCCCTTATTAGTTATTCAGGTTTGCAGTAAATGTAACGGATGTTGCTGCTGGTTACAGGATGTTTGATCATACAGCCGATTGGATGAAATGTATTCAAGAAAAGGGAAGTGGTACAGCCTCTCAGGGTTTTGTTAGTTTATAGAGGGATGATTCTGTAAAGAGAAGTCATTCTGTTTATGTGAAATGTCTTAAGAGCAAATGTATCATGGACTTTAGCCGATGCAGGTCCAAGTTCCACAGTGAGTCAAAGGACTTTTTATAGTGTCTAGCTTATTATTAAACTGTATTCACTTGTCGCAGAATCATTTCTTAATTTCTATTGCTTAAGTGGCCTTTTATTGAGAAATGCGCCCTTGCTGTATAGAGCAAAGGACAGCCAGGATCCTTCAGTTATCACAACAACACTCGCCTGTTTCAATTGTATTAAGGCTTACAGTTACTCTTTATAAGGGGCTTTGCCTATCTGGATTACAGGTGGGTGCAGTCTCAGGTGCCAGCTGTCAGCTCCTCTGAATCCTTGGGCACTTTACATGTCCACGAAGATTCCCATTTTTTTTTTATATGCCAGTTCAAGATAATTGCATCACAGCCGAGAAGGCCACTGCCAGAGCCACGCCCCTTTTTTTTAGCTTCAGTTCAGCTCTTCAGTCTTTGGGATTGTCTGAAGAACAAAGACACATTAAAATGTCTGTATGATTCTAATCCAGTTTCGTTTAACTAAAAATGAAGACACCGATATCAGTCTGACACAAACTATAGTTTATTCAATCCATTTTACAACACAACACATTTAATGAAATACACCCCTGTTAAATTTTTTTAAGTCAATACATTATTTGTGAAAGCTTTCATAGCACACAGCTTAAGATGTGTGTTTTATTATCACCACAACTTCAATCCCCGCTACTGCAATATCATGCACACAATCATAAGCAACCCTACTTAGACTCATCCCTAACATGTTTGTATTTTATGAATTAACTGTTGACCTGCAATTTAGGGTTGTGTGTGTATATGTATATATATATTGGATTAACACATTATTTGCACTTTATCGTTATCTTAGACTTTTATATTTGCACTCTTCCCACTTTGTATTGCAACTGCTGCACAGCAATTAAAGTTCTAACTTATCATATCTTTCCTTCAGACCAAAAATACATTATGATGCACAATGAAATTAAACATATGCATGCAATACAACAAATGCAGAAAATACAACAGAACGACCTCCGAACGTTGATCCGTGGTTCTGAGATGAAGTTTCTTGTTGTCCTGCTGGCTTCCTGGTCTTCATCGTCGTTGAAATTCACCACAACGTCACCAAAGTTTGGAAAAATTCTAGGAATATAGCTGTTTATCTCATTCCAAGGATCTCTTCTGTTTTCCGGGCGGTTGTTCTGTTGGTTAGAGGAGGGCTTTTCCTGGAAAACAATATACAACAGCAGTCCAAGGCAAGCAAGTTCACCCCATGTGTTTACAATGTCAAAGTCATCAGCGCTGCTTCCAAAGCGGTTTCTGAGATGCATCAGTTGCTGTTGGTTTTGTCCCACTGCAAACTCTCTGATCTGTCTCAGGAGGTTAATAGTGATCCTGTATGTGTGATCTGGATCATAAGGTGTGCCCCGATTTTCATTAGTGTCGTAATGCTGTGTGATAAACACTCTGTCTATCCTCCGGTGCGCTCGCCCTTCTATGTTTGGGTCTCTGACTCGAGCTATGATCCTGTCCCTGTTCTCTCCCACATACTGCCTTCGGGGATGCAATACATAAGGAGGAAGTTGGATCGGTGCTTCTCTATAGAGATTTCCTATAGTGTAGTAGCGGTGTTGATTTCCCCGAGGCAGTGTGTCCAGCAGCCCCTCAAAGTTGCCATAATGGTGTGAGCCATAATCTCCACTGTTTGGGTCAAAGGTCAGCCGTATAATATCGTTGTTGTCGATGTCGATTTTGTTGGCAAACCAGTGGAGCAGCAGAAGACTGTGCTTGGGCACAGATTGGCGAAAGTTGATTTGCTTCAAATCATCGATTGAAGCGAGCTCTTTCTGTACAGCCGACACAGAAGTCAGGGCGAGGAGCAGAGCTACACAGCACCAAGTGACTCCTCCAAACATCTTCATCATCCTGTATAGATATTTCAAAAAGATTCAATTATTTATCCATACTGTAGATTTCGATCCATAATAATTTGATGTTTTGATCAGTAAGGTAGACATATAAACATTGAAATAGTTTTGCTTGTGGTTAGCCAAAGTTAGTCTTTTGAATACAACATTCCCTCCTCATGTTTCAATTAACCTTGTTTCCTTGTTGAGTTGTGATGAAGGGAGAGTAACACAAAGAGGAACATACACAAAAAAAATGTAATCAGGAAATGAAATGGCTCACCTGCGTCAGTCTGCTGTCGTCAAATATTCGATCTCCGTGATTGTGCCAGGTTAGGTGAATCTCTTTTCTCTGTAAAGGAATCTGGCAAAACAAGTGTTGCTGGTGGTTGTAGGAAATGTGATCATACAGATGTTTGGATAATACTTCCTTCTGTATTCTTATAAATAAAAAAATAACTTCCTTTCGGGGCTTTGTTACAAGCCATGTGTCTGTACAAATCAGAATAATGAGCAGGTTTACGAGGGATCAGCCTGTCAGGTCCCTGAGCGTAAGCGTGTCCTTTGGACTGCAGGGTGATAATCTTGAAGTTTTATAATGGGGCCTGGCTTATTATTAGCCAGTATTTACTTGTCACAAATACATTTCAAATTGCATTAAATAAATGTTGCATAATATTCTTTTCATTTTCGAAAGTCAAAGTGACTCTTCCATATTTTCTCTCAACCTATTTTTACTATGACTGTCCTCTTGAATACTTAAGTTGCAATATCTGTGTCACCACTCTTGATCACCACATTTGAGGGATCTATTGCTTAAAAGTGAAGTGAATAGTGGTATGTGATGCAGTTTTCCCTTTTTTTGTAATGCCAATAGTCAGATAAAAATGGTGGTACATTTATTAAGTGTGTTGTTCAGTCTTAATATGATACGTTGATATTTTCATTGTTTACTACTCACAAAATGCCAGTTCAACAACTGGCAAATTATACAACAAAAAATGTATAAGTTGGACCAACACTAGGTGGTTATTTAAAAAAACAACTAGATATCAATTTTGCTAAACTGTATCTGTCTCTTGTGATTATCTGAACAATTAGGAACAGTTAAAGCTGTCCTCATTTTGCAACTCACTTACCATACTTCAGTTTCTTTGAAATAAAATCACTTTCATCAGTCTGGCTGATAAATGATAGTTTAATAAACACAAACACTTTCAAACATTACAGAAAAATCCCTCAATTAAAATACACTCCTGCCTTTCACAGTTCAGGGTTAGTGATTGTTGATTTCATATTTAATCACAAACATGTTTAACCAAGCCTACATCCTACATATAAAAAACAAACAAATACATTCTTAATCTTTGTTAATGTAGTGATATTTAAATATTGCTGTTACTTACAGAACCAGACAACGCTACACCTGCATTGTTGGGTTTAGTCACCTGTGTACAAGCTTCTGTTTAACAATAGCAAAGCAAATTAAGTTGTCTGGGTTTGGTCAGGTTACTATAAATAAGATTGTTTTCTTTTATAGTTTTATTTTGATAGCAAGCTGACCTATAACAACAGAGTATGTTAATTACTAAATGTATACAAAAGTTGACAACAAATTGAAACCATTTTAGTTTTAAGTTCCTGCAACCAATAGCTGGAACCTGCACTTGTAAAACTAAGTGTTGCCCCCTGCCTTATTGTTATGAGGACATCTGGTATGGGAGGGTTGACAGCTGAATAGGCTCACCTGGGCCTTTTTGAATACATGCTGGAGCATGACATTGTTCCATGAATAAAGATAAAGATTTGGCCTTTCATCAAAAGCACGTCATACCAACCCATTATCTCATTCTGTATCTCAACTGTATACATGTTTTACAAAGAGAGACCATAGTACACGATATAATCAAATATATTGAGGCAAAACAAAGCATATAACAAAACAACCCTTTACTGAAGGGTTTTTTAAATCATTGCTTGTTTTAGATAATGCATTTTTTACTCTCCCTAATTAGTTGTAATCTAAATTCCCAATGTATTCGTTTTTTCTCCTAGTCTGTTTTGTTTTTGTTGGTTTTATTACATGTTGTTTTGCCGTTAATGTGTTGGTATTGTCTCACCTTGTAACATCTGAAAAATAAAAAAATATTGAAATGAAAAATAAAAAATAAAAAAATAAAATGCATGTTTAAATAAGAAGTATACAAACAATACAAACATAATGCAGATCACAAAAGCATCGTCATCAGCCTTATTATTTTGTCTGTTTCCTAAAATGTAGTCATTTTGTGGGATGGGTTTGTTCTCTGGTGTATCGTTGTTTTGTGGTTTAGGGTCCTTTTGCTTTAGGCACTTTTTTGGTGTATGATCATTTTGTGGTGTATGGATTATTTGTGGTGTATGGATGCTTTGTGGTGTCTGGATGCTTTGTGGTGTATGGATGATTTGTGGTGTCTGGATTATTTGTGGTGTATGGATGCTTTGTGGTGTATGGATTATTTGTGGTGTCTGGATTATTTGTGGTGTCTGGATTATTTGTGGTGTCTGGATTATTTGTGGTGTATGGATGCTTTGTGGTGTCTGGATGATTTGTGGTGTATGGATGCTTTGTGGTGTATGGATGCTTTGTGGTGTCTGGATGATTTGTGGTGTATGGATTATTTGTGGTGTAGGGATGATTTGTGGTGTATGGATGCTTTGTGGTGTAGGGATTTGTTGTGGTGTATGGATGCTTTGTGGTGTAGGGATGATTTGTGGTGTAGGGATGATTTGTGGTGTATGGATGCTTTGTGGTGTAGGTTTGATTTGTGGTGTATGGATGCTTTCAGCTCTGATGTTGTCTTCTGGTTTGTTGTAGACTTTTGGTCGGTTGTTCTGTTGCTTAGAGGAGTGCTGTTCCTGGATCACAATATACAACAGCAGTCCAAGGCATGCAAGTTCACCCCATGTGCTTACAATGTCCAAATGATCAGCGTTGCTTCCAAAGCGGTTTCTGAGAGGCATCAGTGGCTGATGATTTTCTCCCACAGAAAACTCTCTGATCTGCCTCAGGAGGTTAGTGGTGATGCTGTAGGTATGATCTGGATCATATTCCCCCTGATGTGGAATATGCTGTGTGATATACACTTGGTCTATTATTGGCCAAAGTTGCCGTCCTGAGTTTGGCTCCCTGACACGAATAACGATCCTGTCCATGTTTCTTCCCACATACTCTCCTGGGGGGTCGACAACATAAGGAGGAAGTGGAATGGACGTTTCCTGATGGAGATTTCCAATAGTGTAGTACCTGTATTGATTTCCCCGAGGCAGTGGGTCCAGCAGCTCCTCAAAGTTGCCATAATAATGTGAGCCATAATCTCCACTGTCTGGGTCAAAGGTCAGCTCTATGACATCATCCTCATCAATGTCAATTGTGTTGGCAAACCAGTGGAGCAGCAGAAGACTGTGCTTGGGCACAGATTGGTCAAAGTTGATTTTCTTCAAATCACTGATTGAATCGAGCTCTCTCTGTACAGCTGACACAGAGGTCAGGGCAAGGAGCAGAGCTACACAGCTCCAAGTGACTCTTCCTGATATCTTCACCATCCTGTATAAATATTATTCATTATTCATTCATGCTGAACATTTTCAATACATACATACCTACATTGATGTGTAACTAGAGCTGCATCTGATGATTTTCATGACATGGTCTATTTTATTTATCTTAATTGTTTCTTACACCTGAAGGATAGGATTACTTCTGAAAGTATATCCTTACCAATGGCCACCTGGCTATCCTTCAATTAACATTGAAACAGGTTAACCAGTTAAGCCCCATGCCCCCGGTACCGGGGGCAAAACGCAACATCTTGCAAGAAACAGCGTCTGAGGTAGGGCTGCACGATATTGGAAAAAACTGATATTGTGATATTTTTTTCCCCTGCGATATGAAAAAATACAGGAATTGAAGAAAAGACAGTTTTTTTTTGTCCGCAAACCATCCTTTCTTGAACTTTAATGCTATACAATTGGTATTTTTATAATTATATTTAACCGGATGAAGGATTTTAGTCACGGACGTCTGGATCTTAAGTTATCAGAGCAACAAGCTGAGCTAGCTCGGTTAGCAGCGCCGAACTGCCCTGGAGAAACACATGAAACTACTTTATTCAGTGTTTTTACCTTTAATCACCAGAGGCCTGTACTACGAAGCTGGTTCAACCTAACCTGGATATGTTGGAGTTAGCCGGTTGGCCTAAGCCAAAACATACGCGCTGGCGCTAAGCTGTACTACGACGCCGGTTATCAAGTGGATCGCTCAAGCCAGCCGTGTCCTATCTAGTTAGGTGCGCGTTCACATAAAAGGGGTGGTATTTGGAGCATTCGACCAATCTCAAACATGGACAAGCGTACTGACAGCGCAGCGTCATACTTCCTGAATGAAAAGTGAACTTTAATATTAGTCAAATATGAAGAAGTTAAACTTTAAACATCCATGACTTAAACACTTTATCCAGGATAAAAGCCACATTCCAATAACTTGTATATAGACTCATACTGCACTATTCCACATCATAACTTTATTTCATTTTTATAACTATTATTATTTTTGTATTGCTCTTGCTCTTATTGTTATTATGTTATGTTATTATGTTGCATTGTTGGAGAAGCCTGTGACATAAGATTTTCTACTGCATAATTACTCTGTAGCTATGTCAGATTGACAATAAAGAACCTTGAACCTTGAACCTTGAACATAGCTGCACCTGCAAGGTGAATACAGCTGGTAAAAGAAAAAGTGTTTGAATGCGTACATTAACAGGTTTATGAAATCACTGCTAAGACACGATCTGACTTTAATTACATTTGACTCGAGTGTTTCGTCAACTTAATGTGTTGCTTAAAATAATACTTCTGCATATAGTATGTGACACTGTGAGTGTTGCACGGCCAGATACGGCTCAAGAAGCTGACTCAGATAAGGAAATATATGATACATTATGATGTGATATGATATGAATGATAATGGGACACATCGACGTCTGCACTCACAGTGCCGCGGACTGTACTTAATGTTACTCTGATCCGGTTACTTATGTCGTGGCAGATATTTAAGTAAGCTTTCTTAACGCTAATATTATAATAGTCAGATTGCTCTGAAGATGGGAGGGGATATTCTATTAATTTTCACGGCCTGCAACGGCAGTTTTTCTGTATTTCCTCTATCCTGTAATATGAATTGATCGCTTTAAACTCCGCACACGGAGCTCTGATTGGTCAGCAGGCGGTGCTTTCACTGAGTTGATCTCTTAGCCTGCCACCTAACCTGCTCCGGAGCAGGTTTGCCGCTCAGCATAAGTTACCATGGAAATCTAGCCTGCTAAAAAGAGAACCAGCGTCGTAGGACCGGAAAGCCCGAGATTTCCCTGAATTTAGCCGGCTAAGCGAAAATCCAGCTTCGTAGTACAGGCCTCGGGTCCGTTTGCTTTGGAGATTTGATTGTGATTGGTGTTTTTGTTTTTGCACGGACACTATAATTTACATTTTCTTACCATGTTCAATCTGAATTTACTTTAAAATAAAAAAATTCTATATTGATTCTGACTTTTCTACATCCAACTCACAGGTTTATCATTGCTTTGAGAAAAAAGATGATTAATTTACCCCTTTTAGAAGTGAAGATAAGTCATTTGTTCTGCAAATGTCCTTTTCGAGCCTGAGGCCTGAAAAACAGGCTCGGGGCTTAACAGGTTCAACTTGATAGGAATGATGATGATAACGATGTTATGTTTCTTCCTGCTTATAAAGATGTTGTGTTTCTTCCTGCTTATAAGCGACAACCAAAGTCAGTATTATGGAGAAATCAACAGTCCTTGCTCTTTGCAAAATGTATTTGTAAGTTTATCTAAAGTAATAATGAGGCTTCAGCAGCATGATTTATAAAGTAAAATGTGTATAAGTATACAGTAAGTGCCAAATACCCTCTTCAGTTCAAATAGACAGCATTTCCTTGTTCAGTTGCAGTGAAGGAAAAGTAACACAAAAAGGAAAGATCATTAAGAAAAAAACTTGACTTCAAATCTTCATCAAAAATTCGGAACAGTGACATAGTTAATACTATAAACAACACAAGTAATCACAACAAACAACTCACCTGCTTTAGTCTGCTGCGGTATCAAATCTCTGTTGAGAGAGTGGGTGTGTCTCACCTGCTACAGTAGGATACCGTGTCGCTATAAATACAACTTGAAAAAGGGTTGGCTGGGGTGTGGAAGGAAGGTGATAAAGGATGACTTCCTTTTTATAACTTCATGTTTTATTTTTTCCAATATGAAATATTGGAATGAAGTTTCAGATTTACATTTTTTGTAATATATATATATATATATTAAAAAAATATCTAATGTGATGAATTTTGCCTATTTCGGACTATGCCCAGTAGAGTGATCCAGCAAATAAGGGTTGTGAGATGAAGATGACCTGAAACACATTTTTCACAACTGGATTTGAACCGAGGGTGTGGTGGTTTTAGACCATGTGGTTAGAAGGTCCCAGAGCTTATTTTGTTTTTAAAATGTTATACTGATTTATCAAAAATGTTTCTATTCATAGGGGGTGATATATTCCTTTTTTTTAACAATCTTAGTCAGTCTTCGCAAAATAATTGAAACTTCTTGTGATGCCCCTTTTCAACAGTTGACAAAATATAGTTAATCTAAAACGATGTTTGGACCAAAACTGTATAGACTTATTTTCTAAACTATATGTGACTCTACTCTGATTCTCAGTAGAAGGAGGAATAGTTAAAGCGGTGAAACGATGATGTTCAACTTCCCTGTACAGCTGCCTGCACTTCTGCAACTCCACCTGCAACCAGCAGAAGGTGCTGTCTCACAGGTGGTCGGCCTCACACACCTGGAAGGTATCGAGCCTGGAGGTTGTGTAAACCTTTAGTCCATTAAACATCACTTAAAGGAACATTATGGTAATCAGCTTTTTAGCAGTTGGCATGGCTTTTGAAAATGTTTTGAACCAGAAGTTTATATATTTATATATTTAAAGTGCATTTATATATATTATTTTTTAAGTGGATTTCTGTGAAGCCTCAATACATACATTCAGATGCTAACACACAGACACACACTCAAGCTTATCTTGACATCCTGTATAGAGATGTTTATACTTCCCATGGGAAAGGCAGAAAAAAGAACAAAACGCACACAAAAGAAAGCTTTAGTTTCTCTGTGGTCTCCACCCACATCTTTCACATGGGCAGCACAAGAGCATCATTCAAAGGATGCTGTATACCAATACTCCCCTTGAGTATTTTTTCATATTTTAATCATAAAAGTCATACATTTTGAAAAATAAAAGCATCCCAATTCACTGCAATGCTTATTTAGCAAACCCGCAGGGCACAAGATGGCTTCCTTTTTTATTATATTTTGTATTCTTAATTATGAAACAATGACTTCACTATGCACTCTCTCTGTAGGGTTATTATTACATATAATGCACCCAATGAGTCATTCTTTCTCTATCCATCATGATTCTGTGTCAAGACCTTGTACAGCTGCAAGGAATGCTGTCAGGGGTCAGCCAGGCAGCCTGTCCTCCGCCTGCCAATACATGACACCATCTTGGCTCGGCACAGCCTAAAAACAACAGCCCCCGCCATAGGCTTTCTGTCGCTACATCCCCCGTCTCCTCCAAATCAGTTTTATCTGAGATGGCCATGTCCACAGCAGGGCAACCACTCTAGAATAAAGGTGCAGGCCAAGTCATGTCGGAGCAAACAAATGATGGCTGCCTCACTCTGCATGCATGCAGGGTTCACCCAGGAGTCAGTGACTCTAAGAAGTGAGGAGGGAATAGAAATCTATTTTTTTGTATCAAACAAATGTTATTTTTTAACCTATTAATAACATCTGTGAAGACATGTCAGCTTGCATAGCTTTAGAGTTGTTACAAAGTTAGAAAATCGGGGTATTCACGACACAGATCTGAACTCTCGAGCTCAGTGACTTTGACTCAAGAGTTTGCTGTAAGAAAGAGAAAGGCAAGCGTGAGTTATTGGTGTGCACGGAAGGTGGTAAAGAAGTTGGGCTCCAGAGAGGCGGCGTATCTGAAAAGAGGCACAAAAAAAATAATGTTTAGAGCTCAGAGTTGGCAAGTTATGTTTGCACATGGATGTTCAGGCTTTTCATTGATCTTTTTTAAGCATCAGGGCACCATGGCACCTCCAAATCACAGGTACAGCTTCCATATTATATTTATTGAGTTTGGATGTTAAATGTTTTGAATTGAGGGGCAAAGGCCAATAAGATAATGCTGTTATTTTCCTCTGTAACATAGAAGGTACTTTTGTTTAATCTTTTTCATTTCCTCACACTGTGGCCTGCTTTATCTATGTGAAGATAAGACTAGCACAGTACTTGTATAATATCCTCCTGACAGCATTTTATATCTGCATCATCCACAAGTAGCTTTGCTGTTTGTTGCCAAGAATGGAGCTGAGGTGATTTACAACGGAGTGTAGCAAACCCACTTTAGCAGCATCGGAACATACTGTCATTTTTTATCTACATTTTAGTATCTCCAGTTTAAACACTGGGCTTTTATTGGGGTGATAAAATGGAGTTTCAGAAAGGGGGAGATGAAAAGAGAGAAGGCAAAGACAGAACCGTTTTAGACAGGCTGTAGTTTGGGGAAAATGGACCGGTTCCCACATTGTAAAACTAAGTATAACAAGGGTTTATTTTAACTCCCTATTTGGTAAGAGCTGGTTTTTGTCACACTTACCATCTGTGTTTGTGTGTTGGGTTATGGTATCTTGTGTTTTTTATATATTGCATGTTGAAAAAGTGCAGAATTTCGAAGGCCCATAACAAAGCTTCAGATTGGTTAGATGGAGATGTTATATACTCTGCACTGACTGCAGCTGGCCTTTAACACTGAGGGGCCGGCGTGTGCAGGGAGAACGGTTTGTCTTGGCAGAAAAGACTGCGTTTGTATGTTTGTAATTAAAGAAAACAAATCAATCTTTCTAGCCTGTTGTGCCTGCTTTTTCAGAAACATGACTTCATCTCAAGGAATTCCAGGTGCTGCCCTGTATGTGTGCATATGTACGTGTGTGTGTGCATATGTACGTTTGTGTGTACATCTGTGTGTTCATGTGGCTGTAAGGTTGCACTCAAGCCCCTGCACTGGTGTATAATTACACTTCCTGTGAGACTGGAGACAGCTGTTTGCTCTCCTCTTTAATCACACAAATACATACTCTATAAGAATAGTAATCAGCCAAACTAATTGGTTTGTTCCCAGGTTTTAGAAAGAAGTAAGTGAAGGCTGCCTTTCTCACTGTTGAACCAAAACAATCTGCACATGTGGAGGCACTTTTGAGTTGTAATATCCTTCAACTTTCATTTCTTCTCTTTAGGTTCCCCTATAAACTATGATGATGTAGAAAAAATGTGACTTTATTTGCTGCCGTCTTTTTTAAAGATTATAAATGACTGCATGCTTAAGCATTGCTGGCTTGGCTCTCTACTCTATTTTTATAGTGATAATAAGTTTTTTTTAAATCATGTTCATCAGTGAGATGAAGTGAGAATGTTTTGGCAGGGTTATTGGCTATTGCCAAAACATGTCCGTTTTAGTTGCTGTGGAATTCTGCAATAGCTCAACCTTTTCAGCATTTGTTTCCTTTTTGAGAAATAACAAATGTCTCCATATCCTCTGCTCGCTCTCAGCAGCACCCACAAAAGCCTAAACACAGTTCACTGAAGGAAAGTAATGCATTTGGAATGTGAAACTAACATATTGCTGCTATAGGTGCTTTACGAGATGTCTAGCACCAAAATGTTTTGTAGTTTCATGAAAACTAAAAGCATAGTTGATCAGAGCACCTCCAAATGAATGACCAAGGGAATCCCAGTTTGATGTGACGTGTCTCAGGTCCGTGTGAGAGGAATGAATGGGATGTGGTGAATGCAGAGCCTGAGGAGCAGATGAGAGGGTCAGGTCAGATAATTAGGGTTGTAAATGATTCCCAAAGTTTAGGACGGGGACATTCAGCTGGCCCAAAGGCTTGTTCAACATCAGTGAGTGTAGATGTATGCACACACAGATCTGCCTTAGTCTCTATCAAGTAATGCCATAACCTCTCTGTTAAGCTCATTTAGTTAGTTTACCATTACAAAATGTTTAAATATGCTACTTTCTCATAGTAAAAGATCACTTTTTTTGGTGCATAAAGGTTGGGGGGTTTTTTTGCTTGTAAGAGGGTGGGTTTCAAGAAGGAAGTGGGCATGTCTTGTGGCCTTTCATGCTGAGTCACATGACAGGCCTGTGTGGGAGGGGCAGGCGGGGAGCTTCCACAGCCACAGCAGCGCTAGGCCTCTCACTGGAGTGCTGCACTTTGGCAGGGGACACACTAGCACATAGTTCACACACGGTGAGTGTTTTTCATACAGTCGGGTATGTGTGCGCATGGTTGTGTATGAGTGCGTTTGTAAGAAAGCAATCCCAAGTAGAGGGAGTACATGTTGTTTCCTTTATTTTTTCTATGTTGCTCCTCTTCCCTGTAAAAAGAGATTTGATCATCTGTTGTTTTCACATTCTTGACTTGATGGATATCTCTGCATGCCTTCCACGCGTACCTCGGGAACACAGCTGTTTATATGGGTCTTAAAGTGACTTGTTTTTAGTAGCTCAGTGTCAGGATTTATATGCAAATTGCTGTGTTGGCTGCACTGTGAAAAAACCCTTTGGTTTCAGGTATAGCAGTGAGTGTTTCAGTTGTTGCACTCAGGATTAGCATGTTTTGCATTTACATGTGTGCATGTGCATGTTGGTAATTACTTTTGTTGAAGTTTTGCATTCCCTATGTCTTTCATCTCCTATATATTGTGTACGTCTGCTCTCTGGCAAGCTTTGTGTTCAGCTAGGCTACATATGTGTATATATGCAGAGGGATGTTCCATCATGTTGTAGCCCCTACTGTATAAGTTCACTTCTCTTTCTTCCCTCCTTACATTGTCCATACACTGCACACTGCTTTGTGACAGTGATCCATTACCAGATCATGTAGCAAGCACTCAGACGTTTGTGTTAGCTCCACACATGTGGTTAGCAGGCTCCTTAGAG